TTCTATATATCTCCATCCCTCCCCCTTTTCTTTTTTTAAATTTTTTAAAAGATTTTATCTATTTATTGGACACAGAGAGAGAGATCGCAAGCAGGCAGAGAGGCAGGCAGAGAGAGAGGAAGAAGCAGGCTCCCTGCTGAGCCTGATATGGAGTTCGATCCCTGAGACCATGACCTGAGCCAAAGGCAGAGGCTCAACCCACTGAGCCACCCAGGTGCCCCTCTACCTGGTTTCTTACCATTTTTGTCTCTTTATTGATATTCTGTTTGTTGAGACACTGTTATTCTGGTTTCCTTTAGCTCTTTCAGCATATCTAAGATAGTCCATTTAATGCATTTATGTAATAAATCCTATGTTTGTGCTTCCTCATGCACAGTTTCTGTTAATTTCTTTTTTCCTTTGAATGGGCCTTATTTTCATGTTCCTTGGCATGCATCACAACTTTATTGAAGCCTAAACATTTTGAGGATTGTAATGTGGCAACTCTAGAATAAATCAGAATCTCTCTCCTCCACAGGATTTTGTTATTGCTTGCGATGGGTTGCCTGATGTTGGTGAATGGTTTTTTATTTTATTTTATTAACATATAATGTATTATTTGCTTCAGGGGTACAGGTCTGTGAATCATCAGTCTTAAACAATTCACAGCACTCACCATAGCACATACCCTCCCCAATGTCCATAACCAAGCAACCCTATCCCTCCCCCACCCACCCTTCAGCAACCTTCAGTTTGTTTCCTGAGATTAAGAGTCTCATGGTTTGCCCCACCCCATGGTCCCATCTTGTTTCATTTTTTTTCCTCCTTTCCCCTCGTGACCTCCTGCCCTGCCTCTCAAATTCCTCACATCACCCCAGAGATCATATAATTGACTTTCTCTGATTGACTTTTTTCACTTAGCATAATACCCTCTAGTTCCATCTACATCATTGCAAATGGTAAGATTTCGGGTTTTTGATGGCTGCATAGTATTCCATTGTGTGTGTGTGTGTGTGTGTGTGTGTGCACGTGTGAGTGTGTGTGTGTGTGTATCAATCACATCTTCTTTATCCATTCATCCGTTGAAAGGCGAGGGAAGCAAGGGCAAAAATGAACTATTGGGACTTCATCAAGATCAAAAGCTTTTGCACAGCAAAGGAAAGAGTCAACAAAACCAAAAGACAACTGACAGAATGGGAGAAGATATTTGCAAACGGCATATCAGATAAAGGGCTAGTGTCCAAAATCTATAAAGAACTTAGCAAACTCAACACCCAAAGAACAAATAATCCAATCAAGAAATGGGCAGTAGACATGAACAGACATTTCTGCAAAGAAGACATCCAGATGGCCAACAGACACATGAAAAAGTGCTCCACATCACTCAGCATCAGGGAAATACAAATCAAACCCACAGTGAGATACCACCTCACACCAGTCAGAATGGCTAAAATTAACAAGTCAGGAAATGACAGATGCTGGCAAGGATGAGGAGAAAGGGGAACCCTCCTACACTGTTGGTGGGAATGCAAGCTGGTGCAACCACTCTGGAAAACAGCATGGAGGTTCCTCAAAAAGTTGAAAACAGAACTATCCTACAACCCAGCAATTGCACTACTGGGTATTTACCCTAAAGATACAAACATAGTGATCCGAAGGGGCACGTGCACCCAAATGTTTATAGCAGCAATTTCTACAATAGCCAAACTATGGAAAGAACCTAGATGTATGTCCACAATAGCCAAACTATGGTTAATTACTTTTAAAAACTGTTTTTTGTAAAGACTATATTTTTTATTATCTGTGATCTCTGAAGTCTCTATCCTTTAGCTTAATGCTCAGCTAGTGGTTTGAAATTTTCTTAAATGCCTGGAGTAAAAAAAGAGAGAGAGAGAGAGAGAAAGAAAAAAAGAAAAAGAGAAGAGAAAAGTTAAAAGGGGCACCTGGATGGCTCAGTTAGTTAAGCATCGGACTTTGGCTCAGGTTGTGATCTCAGGGCCCTGGAACTGAGCCTTGGGTGGAGCCCTCTCCCTCTTTATCTGCCCCTCCCCCTGCTCGTGTGCACACACACACTCTCTCTCTTACTCTCTCTCTCAAATAAATTAATAACATCTTTACAAATTTTAATAAAAGTTAAAAAAAATAGCCTGCAGGTCTTTGGAGATTGGCTCTGTGTTGGGGCGTTCCTTCTATGTTTAGGCAGGCTATTTATAAATCTGCCTCCAGTTCCGGCTTGTGCTGAGTCTTGATAAAGGAAAGTTTTAACTTTTAAAGTTTATGGATGCTGCTGCTCCTGTGTTCCCAGGGAAGCCAAACTTTAATTTTTACCAAGGTCAGAATGACTTAAGCAAACTTCAAAGGAGGGGCCCTATTTCTGCCCCAGCACACATTATGTATCTGCTTCATTAGCAAATAATCTAAAAAAAACCATTTCAAACTAAGAAGTAAAAATCTCCCTACATCCTGTTCCCATACAAAGCCTACAATATTGCACTTACCAAAAACATAAGACAAAGTTTATAATTTTCTGGAATGTCCTTCCTCATGGTGATTTATAATCTTGGTTAACAAAAAAACACATATAACCCTGTATTAAACATTCTTTCTCCAGAGCACTCTCTTCTTTGTGAAGATTGTGTATCTGAGGCAGCTGTCCTCATTTGGGCTGAAATAAAACTGTCTTCCTTTTTTTTTTTTTTTTAAGAAATTCTAAAAGGTTTGTTCATTTTGCATTTTATGCAGGATTGTCAAGTGCAACAATAAATAATTCTTGAAATACGTTATGGTACAAAAGAGTGTTTTTATTAGAGCACTGAGACAGAACCCACAGGCAGAAAGAGCTATATTGTGATTGTAAGGTGGGACTGATTATACAGGGTTTTCTATCCTAAGGAGGTAAAGATGACATTAGGTCTCCAAGAAATTGAGTCAATAGGTTCCTGGAGGTCAGTTATTAAGATCGTGTTTTTCTTGTAAATCATTAAGACAGTTACAAATTATAGTCGAGTCTCATGTCCTACATGAATGTGATATTTGTCAGTTGACCATTTGTTTCTTTCCTGCCTTTGTTCTTAGGCAGTCACCAGTGCCTGAGGAATGCTAAACATATCCCACCTTAAGGGTGGGATTGTGGGGTATCAGCTCCTGTTTTGCCCTTAGCTTCCCTTTTGCTCTCTCATGAGCTGCAACAGCCTAAAGATCAGCCAGAGTTATAATATTATGTGTTCTCAAGTCTTAGAATTCTGAGCATGAGTCCTGGGCACGTGTGCTGCATATATATATATACTATATGCCCCAGTATACACAGGAGCTTTTCAAAGACCTTATTTTTCAAAAAAATCTCACTCCTGACTTTTCTTCCCTTACTTTTCCTCCTAGTCTTTCAGCCTGTTCTTTCCTTTTTGGGTTTTTTTGGTTTTGTTGCCCAGGCAGGAGGTTGTTCATTTTCCTTTCGATGTTCTTGAACATTACATTCCCTAAGTAGCTGTTTTTCTGCCTGAGAAAATCTGAGTTAGGAAAAACAAAGGTAAACCCATAGTATCAGTCCTTCACAGAAACCCCACACAGGTCAAAACAAACATAATTCCATAAGACAAAGTCTCTGCTCCTCCCAGAGCCAGATTATACAAACTGGGAATGAGGACTGGCAAAGGGAGTGAAGCTAGAGTAAGAGAAAACATGTAAACATCTCCTACCTTGTTTCAGTGGCCTTTTTCCTGGTTACATATTTGCTTGTTTGCTCTAAAACTTTGACTATCTTCCGTATTCTGATAAGGTTGTTTCTGACAGTTTTTGCTGGGTTTTGGGGGGCGCCTGGGTGGTTCAGTTGGTTAAGCATCTGCCTTCTGCTCAGGTCATGATCCCAGTGTCCCGTGATCCAGTCCAGCACCTGGCTCCCTGCTCAGCAGGAGTCTTTCTCCCTCTCCCGCTTTCCCTACCCACCCCCCTCACCTGCTCTCTCTCTCTCTCACTTGCTCTCAAATAAAAAAATAAAAATATTTTTAAAACATTTTTTAAAATAAATAAATAAAAATGTTTGGGGGCAGGGTTGGACCCTGAGCCTCCCTACTGTACCATTTTTGCTGCTGTCACCTAAGTTGATCCTTACACCACCCAAAAGGTAATGATGAAACAGGGGCCCCATTAAAGTACCTTGTCCACAGTCCCCTGAGTAACAAATAGTAGAGTCAGAATTCAAGTCCATATCTGCTCTACATCTCTTCTATTCTCATTTAATCCACTATCTGGAGAATTTTATTGTTTCCTATTATTTTCCCCCTACCCAGTGAATCTCAGCCCCCACCTCTCTGGAATGGTAGATCTATATTTATAACTACTTGAGAACACTACAACAAGTTTCAAATTCAGTAAGTCCTAAACTAAATTCATTATCTTAACCTCCTGCTTCTCCATTCTCAAACCCTCCTGAAATTTGCTTCTTACTTGCTTCTGGGAATTACTCTCACTTCTCAGTTAAATGGCAGCACCATTCACCCCCTTTTAATCAAACTCCAACTTCGGAGTTAACTTCATTGGCCAAATCCTGCCTTAAAGATGGAACTGAAAAAAATCCTGAACACTTGACATGCCTGGGTGGCTGAGTAGATTAAGCCTCCGACTTTGGCTCAGGTCATGATCTCAGGGTCCTAGGACTGACACCTCTTCAAGGCCCCTTGGGCTCTGTGCTAAGCAGGGAGTCAGCTTGAGGATTCTCTCTCTCTCTCTCTCTCTCTCTCTCTCTCTCTCTCCCCCTCTGCCCCTTCCCCTGCTTGTGCTCTTTCTCTCGCAAACAAATAAAATCTTTAAAAAAAAAAAAAAAGTCCTGAATCCTCAGTCTGATCCAGGAAGAGAAACCCGAGCCCAGCCAACTACTTAATCCCGGGGCAGCCCCTCGATCTTCCGCCTAAGAGCAATGCTGTGTGGGTCGCCGGGCTGGGCCTCTGGAGGCAGCCAAGGGCGGGCTTCCGGCAGCGCTCTCAGGGGCACTGCCTGCCGGGACCACGCCTCGGGTCCTTGCCGGGAGTTTGGAGCCCGGAATCCGGAAGCAGGCGGTGAGGGAGCTCTGGGAGTGGGGAGAGTAGGCAGCGGGGAGCTTCCAGAGCCCGGAGCATCGGATGCGAGGAGAGTCCCGAGCCAGGAGCGCCAGGAGCAGCGAGTGTCGGGAGTGGGCCATATCCCCTGGCAGGTGCGTGGGCGCGGCTGGCCGGACCCCGTGGGCGGTTGGGGTAGTCTTGGCCGAGGGTGGCCGTGTCGACTCCCATCCTGAGCGGCTGGCTCAGCTCTGTGCCGCCGCTGATGGTGGTTGCGTGGTTGGCCTTACCGCGCTGGTTGCAGTGGGACTGCATGCACGCTCATGCAGCCCGAGCCTTCCCGGGCATTGGCGTGTTCTCGAGCGAGTCGGCGGCCCAGGTGACAGGACACAGGTGGGGCAGCCAAAGGGAGCCGGTGCTCACAGCCGGGTCTCTGAGCGCGCTCCGGGCTCGGGGAAAATGAGCAGATGGCAACAAAACTCTGTTTTTTTGCTTCTAGTAGGCAGACACCCTATCTTCTTAAAATGAGGTATTCTTCAATTTAGGTTTGGAAAAGTAAACGTTTCAAAAAAAAAATACAGTATTTTTTGAATAATCAGGGAATGTAATCTGACCTCGAAATTAGGAACATCATGATAGAAACATTCAATGAGCATGTTGAAGATCAAAATTGAAAACTTTGTTTTTTGTAAACTTTATTTAATGGTAAATACTTCTTGCGGGGAATGCCCAGTGACTCAGCTGGGCATTTGTCCAGAGGAACATGGCACTGCTGAATGTTCAAACTTTTGACTCTGGATTACAAAATAACAATAAACACATAAAAATATTTAAAGTGGAGTGTAATGATAAGGGAGGAAATCCTCTCCATATTTGCATGTTGAGAATAGAGTAGCTGGAATTTGTGAGGAGGAGCTTAGGTTGTTTCTCAGGAGCTGGGGATGTGTGTTCTTATCCTGTGCTCCTAACACAGAGACTGACTCCAAAATCTCCTATGTACACAATAAGCTCCGATGCCCACATAAATGAACACTGACTGTTTAGGAGAAGCTTGGAAAGAAGGGAGAGACTGGTGGCACATGTTAAGAAAGCTGCTAGCCAGGAGAGGCCACACATGGAAGAGAGACTCCATATACAATCTGGAGGAAGGCAGAAGCCAAGGCCTGACTTCAGATTTCACAGAATTAATAGTGTTAGTTTCACTTCCTACTATGAATAGGAAGACAGAAGTCAAGGCCTGACTTGAGATTTCACAGTATTTGAGTGTTCGTTTCACTACCCCTACAGGGCCTCAGCTGTGAGGAAGAGGCCAGAGAGTTGTTTAAAGTGTTTGTTTATATTTTGGTTTCACAAATAGTTCCACGAACTGTACACTTAAAAATGGTTAAAATGGCAAATTTTATGTGAGGTACATTTTGCCACCAAAATAAAGGTTAAAAAATATCTGTACTGTTTGACTCAGTAATTCCACTTCTGGCCATCTATTCTAAGGAAACAATGACAGAGATTTGGCCAAAAATATATGTTTAAAACATTTCCCTCAAAGTATATTTTTAATAATGAACAATTTTCAGTAACCAAATATCTGATGACTTGGGGAAGAGTTAAATTACACATAGCCACAACAGATATTTTCAAAGACTATTTAGTGATATTGGGCATATACTCATTAAAAGTTAGATAAAAGAAACTGGCTATAAAATTCAATAAATAATTTCACAAATAACATATTTTTATTAAAATAATTTATAAAATATATTGATACAGGGAAGAATAATATCTAAAGATATTGAAAGAAATATCAAAATCAACAGTGGTGTTATTTCTCATGGAGGGATCATAAGTGCTTTTTTTTTTTTTAAAGATTTTATTTATCTATTTGACAGAGAGATCACAAGTAGGCAGAGAGGCAGGCAGAGAAAGAGGAGGAAGCAGGCTCCCTGCTGCACAGGAATCCTGATGCGGGGCTCAATTCCAGGACCCTGAGATCATGACCTAAGCCGAAGGCAGCAGCTTAACCCACTGAGCCACCCAGGTGCCCCTATAAGTGCTTTTTAAAAAACAACTTTACTGAGATATACTTTACATACCATTAAATTCGCCCATTTTAATTGTATGATTCAAAGACTTTTAATGAGTTGTGCATCATCACCATTATCTGGTTTAGAACATTTCCAGCACTGTAGATGCTCTTTATTTTTCTCCATTCTGGTTAACCTACTTTGGGGGAGAAGTTATTTTTAGAAAGACAAATTCATAGTACTTTCCTTGAAAATTTAAGCAAAACTGAAAAATAATACAATTTAAGGTAAAACTAAGAGTAATATAATTTAACAAGAATAAAAATTATTTAAGCTTTTTGAGTCAGTATTGTTTAGGATTTCAGGACTATTTTCTAAGACAACCATTGGAATTGCAAACAAAGATTTACATGTAAGTGTGTGCATCATAGCTTTTTTTCTTAAAGATTGATTTATTTGAAGTGTGCCTGGGTGGCTCAGTTGTTAAGCATCTGCCTTCAGCTCAGGTCATGATCCCATGGTCCTGGGATCGAATCTCACATCTGTCTCCCTGTTCAGCGGGAAGCCCACTTCTCCCTCTCCCACTCCTGCTTGTGTTCCCTCTCTTGCTGTCTCTCTCTCTATCAAATAAATAAATAAACATCTTTTAAAAAAGGTTTATTTATTTGAGAGAAGTGGGGGGCACAAAGGGAGAAACTGTCTCCAGCGGGCTCTCCACTGAGTTGATCCTGGAACCCAAGGTCATGACCAGAGCCAAAATCAAGAGTCAGACTCTTAACCAATTGAGCCACCTAGACTCTCCCATAAGTTTTGTTTTGTTTTTTTGTTTGTTTAAAATTTTATTTATTTGTCAAAGAGAGAGAGTGTGTGTGAGCAAGCACTAGCGGGGGAACAGCAGGCAGAGGGAGAAACAGGCTACCTCACCTAGCAAGGAACCCGATGAGGGACTGGATCCCTGACACTTATCCACCCGAACCACCCAAGTGTCCCTATAGCTTTGTTTTTGATACCAAAATTTAGAAGTAATTTGATTGCCCAACAATAGAAATAGTTCATTTATGACATATAGCTAAGATAGCCTCTCTTAAAAATGTTTTCCAGGAATAATTAATGATTTGATGCTAAAGACAAAATGCTGAAACAAAATGCAAGATAGGTATTGTGAATATAGTATGATTTCAATTTTGATAATAACATAATCCATTACAGTACATACACATAGAAAAAAAGCCTGGAAGAAAAGGCAAACAAAGTTTATTGTTAAATACTTATACATTTCTTTCCATTCAAAATATGCCTATTTTTCTTAGAAGTAATTCTTTTCCATATATAGGAAAGTAGGACAGTAAAAGAAATTAAATTAAAACACAAATATGTTTCCATTTAAACATAAGTTGCATATTTTTATTACTAATTGGTCAGTTTTTTCTCTAGAATGGCTAACAGACATCCACATAACTAATGGGACTAAGTGTCTTTTAAGTTTTAAAGAATTATGTATAAAATCTGTGGCTTCACTATCGCATATATTAATTTTTAATTTAGAAAGAAGTGCTTTGTGTTCTTAAACCACACACCTGATCTGTAACTGAAATCTGTACATTTTCATTAAGATATATAGTACGAGCCTATACCAAAGAATTTTGGAGCACCATAGTACCAGCCATAAAGCTAGAAATGATTCTAAAACCAACGTACTTGTTGCAAGTTTGATCACTGTTCAATTTTTGTAGTTAAAAATGATTGCAATATGTCTTTTTAAAATAATGCCCAGGGCGCCTGGGTGGCTCAGTGGGTTAAGCCGCTGCCTTCAGCTCAGGTCATGATCTCAGGGTCCTGGGATCGAGTCCCGCATCGGGCTCTCTGCTCAGCAGGGAGCCTGCTTCCCTCTCTCTCTGCCTGCCTCTCTGTCTACTTGTGATCTCTCTGTGTCAAATAAATAAATAAAATCTTAAAAAAAAAAAAAATAAAAAAAAAAAATAAAATAATGCCCATATTCACATTGTATGCATGTAGAATAATTCCTGATGCACTGTCATTTATATTCACTGAAAAGAAAATCCTTTTTTTTTCCACAGACTCCCCTGAATTTTATTATACTGTGGTTTATTTATTTATTTATTATTTAAATTCAATTTTGTTAACATATACTGTATTACTGGTTTCAGGGGTACAATTTAGTGATTCATCAGTTGCATCTAACACCCAGTGCTCCTTACATCAAGTGCCCTCCTTAATGGCCATCACCCAGTCACCCCATCTCCCCACCCACCTCCCCTCCAGCAACTGTCAGTTTGTTCCCTGTGTTAAGAGTATCTTATGACTGGGGTGCCTGGATGGCTCAGTTAGTTAAGCATCTGATTCTTGATTTTGGTTCAGGTCATGATCTTGGGGACCTGGGATCGAGCCTCGCATCAGGCTCTGTGCTCCACACGGAGTCTTTTGGAGATCCTCTCTTTCAAATAAATAAATAAAATCTTTTTTTTTAAGTCTCTTATGATTTGCCCCCTCTCTGTTTATATCTTATTTTTCCTTCACTTCTCCAGTGTTCTTCTGTTTTGTTTCTAAACTCCACATATGAGTGAAATCATATGGTTTTTGTCTTTCTCTGACTGACTTATTTCACTTGGCATAATACCCTCTAGTTCTAGCCATGTCATTGCGAATTGCAAGATTTCATTCTTTTTGATGGCTCAATAATATTCCATTGAAAATCCTTTAAAACTATGACTTGAAACTTTTTTCCCTACAGGATGACTGTGAGGATCTTTGCAAATTGTAACTTCTGTTTGAAAGTCAAGCACTTAGCTCGTCAACAGAAGAAAAAGCTACAAAATGACATTAAGGAGAATGGTGGAAATTTTTCCTTTTTATTAAATCCTCAGGTATGTAAACTTTGTAAGAACTGTGTGATAAATACTGTCCGTTCAGGGAGGGTAGTTCAGGATGCTTGGCTGGCTCAGTGGGAAGATCATGCGACTCTTGATCTTGGGGTCTTGAGTTAAGGCCCCATGTTGGGCATAGAGCTTACTTAAAATAATAAATTAATATTTTTTTTTTTAAGGGAGAATGGGTCATGGTTAGAAGGGTAAGCAGAGACAATTGGCCACAGAAGAAAGTCACTGAAGGCAGGTGAAATTAAGACATCATTAACAGGGAAGTTGGGCTGGAGAAAGGCAGAGGAGGAAAGACCATGCGTCCCACCTTCTCTCCATTTCCTTGAGCTGTAGAGAAATTCCACGTACCTTGTGAATCCGAGGTTATTAGAGTACAAGATCTGAAGACCTAAACAGAAATAATTACAGACCAGCCAAATCTATTCTTGAAGGAGAAAAGTGATGGTGTACAGCATTTGCAAAAAGCATTCCATCTAATCACTCCCTAGTATGTTATCCCTGAATGTCACCTGTACAGTGTGACTCGGGACAAAGAAAAACATGTAAACTCATCTTGAACTGCTTATACAGCTTGTACTGATTGTTTTGTTTATTTAAAGTCCGAAGAAAGCTACTTTCCCTCTCTTGAAATGGAATTGTAGGCCTGACAGTTTAAGATTGGTGGCTTAGCCTGACCCTTCCTGGACCACATCCCTGGGGCTTGCTGACCATGAGTCTAATTTGTTCTGTGAAGTATGTTCAACTCCAGCTAGATCCTGGGTGCCCTCTGGCATTTAGTAGTTTGCCTGTGATTATCAGAAATGGAATGTCCCTGTTTACCTCCAGTTTAGGCAGAACTGTATATACATCCCTTAATACAGCTTTCCTCACTTGCCTGTTTCCATTTCTGTGCATGGATGAATAATTCATGCCAGTTATGCCTTCTCAGTTTATCTTCTGGGTAAAGAATGCCAACATGGTCTCTCATTTCCAGAAATTCCCACATAGTGTAAACTTTTTGGAAATTATGTTGCCAATGTATATAAACTTTTGAAATGTGCATACTATGTATTATAATGAATGAGACAACTATGTATTGTTAAGGAATGAGCTCCAAGATGAATTATTAAGTGGAAAAGCAGGTACAGAACATCATGTTTAGTATGCTGCCATTTGTGACTAAAATTAGGGCTGTGTACTTATATTTGTGTTGCCTATTCATAGAATAGCTTCGAAGGATACTCCAGAAACAAGTTAAAACAGATGCCTCTGGGGGCGCCTGGGTGGCTCAGTGGGTTAAGCCGCTGCCTTCGGCTCGGGTCATGATCTCGGAGTCCTGGGATCGAGCCCCGCATGGGGCTCTCTGCTCAGCGGGGAGCCTGCTTCCTCCTCTCTCTGCCTGCCTCTCTGCCTGCTTGTGATCTCTCTGTCAATTAAATAAATAAAATCTTTAAAAAAAAACAAAAACAAAAAAAACAGATGCCTCTGGGGAGATGAACTGGGAACAATGGTATAAATATATGTTAATTTATTATTATTATTATTATTATTTTACTTTGTAGATATTCTACAATGTGCATATACTATTTATTCATAATAAATTAATAAAATTACAACTTAACAAGTTAAATAAATAATGAATACCTTTTGAATCTATCATTCCACTCCTAAGAAAACAATTAAACAAATGTACAAATATGTGTACATGAAGTAACTCAGTACAGCATTGTTTAAAGCAGTGAAAACTTGGGAATAACCTCTAGGGTTGGTTAATCAATTATGGTATATCCCTATCCCTATTCTTTAAAAACTATTGATTTTTTAAACTTTTATTTAACTAAAAATTATTTTATTTGTAAGTGTTTTAGAAGTCTGAGAAAGATTACTATAAATTATCTTCAAGACTTTTAAGGGTGAGCATTCTAGGGCAAGATGGTGACAGAGCAGGGGACCTCATTTTATTTGGTCCCTTGAATTTAGCTGGATATCTATAGAACTACTCTGAACACACACAAATTCAGCCTGAGTTGTAAGAAAATATATTTGGAACTCTACAAGCAGAAAAACAATTGCTTTTTGCAAGGTAGGAGATGTGGAATTGTGAATCTGTGGGAGATATCTTAAGATAAAGAGAGTGGGGAAGGATCCTCCATAAGCCAGCTGCTGGAAAGTGATATAACACTGGAGCGTGAAATCAGAACTCTTAGAAATTGCTCACTAGGACAGATTTCTTAAAGGGGCACAGGAGATGGAAAGAGCAGAATTCTAAGTGGGTCATTGTGATCTCAGGATCCCGGAGACACAGAAAGAATGGGGGTGCCTGATCCAATAGGGTGCCCGAGCAGTGAAGTGGGAAACTGGTTATGGTCAGAGAGCTCAGAAGGGACTCTCAGCTCCAGTCACCATAATCCATGAGCTGGGCTGGTAGGAAGACTACTCTTCGCCCCAGGCAACTGGATCATGTGGGCTGTTTAACATCTCCTGGATAGAGACAAAACAGCTGCTCCCATGAATCTAGCAACAACTCTCAGGGAAGTAGTGGCTCCAGAAAGGAGAGTAGGATGGCATCCAGCTATTACCTGAGAGAAATGGAGCAGGGTCCGTGCCTGACCCCAGAACCACTCACAGTCAAAAAGACACAAAGTGCAGTAAGACTCATGGACCCTTAGAGCACCCCCTGGTGTGAATTGGGTGCGAATTGCCAGAGTCTGTGGAGTGTGGCACACAGAGGCTGTGCCTACGACTGGACAACAGTTCTCAGGCACTGATGGCCCCAGAAAGGAGAGTAGGATGGCACCCAGCTGTGACCTGGGAGCAGCAGAGCAGGATGTGTGTGAGCTCACAACCACTTGCAGTTGCAAAGACACAAAGCGAAGTGTTGCTCATGGGCACCAGAGGCACGCCCCAGGAGAAGTGTAGTGGGGGTGAACTGCAGAAGTCTGTGGGCTTGATACACACAGATGTGGAGATAATTTGACCTGCAGGGTTTATTGAAGAAGGGAAACTGTGATCTCGTGCCTGTGGGCCAGAGATCCTGGCATGGCTGTTTTTGCTCTGACCCTCTGAAGAGGTGTGGAAAGCCACCAAGAAATAAAAGCAACACAGACAACCAGTTCATCTCGAGCCCATCCCCCTGACAAGGGGTGGGGCAAATTTGCCCAGGGAAAGACACCTGAGAAGTAGAACAGCAGGCCCCTCCCTGAGAAGACAGACCTAAGAACAGGTGGATAACAAGCTTATAAATCCCACAGAATGGTAAAACCCCAGAACCAGGGGCAAATAATATATTGAGTTCCAGATGTTACCTCATGATTGGTTTATTCTTCAGTCTAAAATTTTACATTTTTTTAACCTTTTCCGCATTTCAACTAGATTCTTATTTACCAACTTATGTTTTTAAGTTATTTTTTAACTTTTTTTCTCACATCTACATTTTATAGATTTATGCCTCATTCTTGTCCTTTTTTCACTCTATCCAATTTTATATATATATAAACTTTGCTTTCCTTGCAATTTTGGGATGTAGTGTCTTCTAACACAGAAACCAAAATTCAATCAGGAGCAAGAGTATCACCCTGCTATGTCCACCCTGTGAGATTATAGTCTCTCCCATGCCCCTTTTTTTATTGTTTTGGTTCATCTTGCCTTGTTTGCTTTTCTGTGGTGCTGTCTGACCTCTTTGGATTTTTTCTTTCCTTTTTTTTTTTTAAGATTTTATTTATTTATTTGACAGACAGTGATCTCAAGTAGGCAGAGAGGCAGGCAGAGAGAGAGAGAGAAGCAGGCTCCCTGCTGAGCAGAGAACCCGATGTGGGGCTCGGTCCCAGGACCCCGAGATCATGACCTGATAGCAATTATAAAGTTAATAGCTAGGCTTGAAAAGAGTATAAATGACAATACAGAATATCTAAGGGTGGTAATGAGATCTAATCAGGCCTAAAAGTGCTAATGATCTAAAAGTGCTGTGAATGAGATGCCATCTAAGTTGGATGCTTTAACAACTAGGGTCAGTGAGACAGAGAGAAAATCAGTGATCTAGAGAACAGGCTGATGGAAAGCAAGGAGGTTGAAGAAAAAGAGAGAAAAACAACTAATAGCCCACTAAGAAAGGCTTTGAGAATTTAATGATGTATTGAAAAGAACCAATGTCAGAATCATCAGGATCCAAGAGAGGGTGGAAAGAGAGAGAGGGCTAGAAGGTATATTTGAGCAAATCATGGCTGAGAACTTCCCTAATTTGAGAAAGAAAATAAGCACTCATGTCCAAGAGACAGAGAGGAACCCTCCCAAAATCAATAAAAACAGATCAACACCCTGACCTATAATAGTGAAGCTTGCAAATCTTAGAGCCAAAGAAGTTATGCTGAGAGAAGCTAGGGAGAGGAGATTCCTTACATATGGAGGGAGGAACATCAGAATAACATCAGACCTATCCACAGAAACCTGGAAGGCCAGAAAATGCTGGCAAGATATATTCAGAGTACTAAATGAGAGGAACATGCAGCCAAGAATACTTTCTCCAGCAAGGCTGTCATTCGGAATGGAAGGAGAGATAACAGAGTTTCCAGGACAGACAGAAACTGAAAGAATATGTGACCACCAAGCCAGCCCTGTAAGAAATACTAAGGGGGATACTGTAAGCAAAGAGAGAGCCCAAGAGTAACATAGACCAGAAAGTAACAGACAATCTACAGAACAAACTACGGACTTTGCAGGCAATACAATGTCACTAAATTCATATCTTTCAGTAGTTACTCTGAATGTAAATAGGCTGAATGCTCCAATCAAAAGACACAGGGTATCAGATTGGATTGAAAAAGCAGGACCCATCCATATGCTGTCTACAAGAGACTAATTTGAACCTAAAGTCACCTCCAAATTAAAAGTGAAGGGCTGGAGAACCATTTACCATGCCAATGGACCTCAAAAGAAAGCTGGAGTAGCAGTCCTCATATCAGACAAATTAGATTTTAAACAGAAGACTTTCATAAGAGATGTAGAGGAACAACATATCATACTCAAAGGGTCTATCTGACACGAAGATCTAACAATTGGAAATATCTATGCTCCCAATGTGGGAGCAGCCAATTATATAAAACAATATCCAAAGTAAAGAAACATACTGATAATAATGCATTAATAGTAGGGGACTTGCAGACCCCACTCATAGCAATGGACAGATCATCTAAGCAGAAGATCAATAAAGAAATGAGGGCTTTGAATGACACACTGGCCCAGATGGACTTCACAGATATATACAGAACACTCCATCCTAAAACAGCAGAATACTCATTCTTCTTGAGTGCACATGCAACATTCTCCAGAATAGATCACATACTGAGTCACAAGTCAGGTCTGAACTGAGACCTAAGATTGAGTCATTCCCTGCATATTTTCAGACCACATGCTTTGAAACTGGAACTCCATAACAAGAAGAAATTTGGAAGGAACTCAAACACTTGGAGGTTAAAGCACATCCTGCTAAAGAATGAATGGGTCAATCAGGAAATTAAAGAAGAACTTAAACAATTCATGCAAACTAATGAAAATGAAAACACATCAATTCAAAACATGTGGGGTACTGCGAAAGTTGTCCTGAGAGGGAAGTACATAGTAGTTAAAGCTGCTCTCAAAAAAATTGGAAAAATCCCAAATACACAAGATAACCGTATACCTAAACGACCTGGAGAAAGAATGGCATATAAAACCTAAACGAAGTAGAGGAAGAGAATATTGAAGATTAGAGCACAAATCGATGAAATAGAAACCAGAAGAACAGTAGAACAGACCAATAAAACTAGGAGGTGGTTCTTTGAAAGAATTAATAAGATTGATAAACCTCTGGCCAGACTTATACAAAAGAAAAGAGAAAGGACCCAAATTAATAAAATCATAAATGAAAGGGGAGAGATCACAACCAATACCAAGGAAATACAAGTAATTGTTAGAATATATTACGAGCAACTATATGCCAACAAAATGGATGCATTCCTAGAAATGTATAAACTACCAAGACAAACAGGAAGAGGTAAAACACCTGAACAGACCAATAACCAGCAAGGAAATTGAAGCAGTAATCAAAAACCTCCCAAAACAAGAGTCCAAAGCCACATGGCTTCCCAGGGGAATTGTACCAAACATTTAAAGAAGAGGGGCACCTGGGTGGCTCAGTTGTTAAGCATCTGCCTTTGGCTCAGGTCATGATCCCAGGGTCCTGGGATTGAGCCCCACATCAGGCTCCCTGTTCGGTGGGAAGCCTGCTTCTCCCTCTCCCACTCCTCCTGCTTGTGTTCCTGCTCTTGCTGTCTCTCTCTGTCTCTCTCTCTCTGTCAAGTAAATAAATAAAATCTTTAGCATTAAAAAAAAGAAGAAATAATACCTATTCTACTGAAGCTCTTTCAAAAAATAGAAATGGAAGGAAAACTCCCAAACTCCTTCTATGAAGCCAGCATTACCTTGATTCCATAACCAGACAAAAACCCCGATCAAAAAAGAGAATTACAGACAAATATCCCTGATGAACATAAATGCCAAAATACTCAACACGATCCCAGCCAATAGAATCCAATAGTACATTAAAAGGATGATTCACCACTACCAGATGGAGTTTATTCCTGGGGTGCAAGGGTGGTTCAGCATTCACAAATCAATCAATGTGACAGAGCACATTAGTAAGAGAAAAGACAAGAATCATATGATCCTCTCAATTGATGCAGAGAAAGCATTCAACAAAGTACAGATAATTTCTTGATTAAAACTCTTGAAGGATAGGAATAGAGGGAACATACCTCAATATCATAAAAACCATCTATGAAAAGCCCACAGCAAATCTTCTCAGTGGGGAAAAACTGAGAGCTTTTCCCCTAAGGTCAGGAACACAACAGGGATGCCTACTCTCACCACTGCTGTTCAACCTAGTACTAGAAGTCTCAGCCTTAACAATCAGACAACAAAGAGAAATAAAAGCTTTCAAACTGACAAAGAAGTAAAACTCTCTCTCTTTGCAGATGACATGATACTTTATGTGGAAAACTCAAAAGACTCCCCCCCCAAAACTGCTAGAACTCATAACAGTGATTCAGCAACATGGCAGGATACAAAATCAATGCACAAAAATCAGTTGCATTTCTATACACTAACAATGTGTCTGAATAAAGAGAAATTAAGGAATTGATCCCATATGCAATTGCACCAAAACCCATAAGATAACTAGGAATAAACTTAACCAAAGAGCAAAGGATTTGTACTCTAGAAACTACAGAACACTTATGAAAGAAATTGAGAAAGACACAAAGAGATAGAAAAGCATTCCATGCTCATGGATTGGAAGAAATGTTTATGCTACCCAGAGAAATCTACACACTCAATGCAATCTATCAACCTTTTTCACAGAACTGGAATAAACAATCTGAAAATTGTATGGAACCAGAAAAGACACTGGTCACAAGGAGAATGTTGAAAAAGAAAACCAAAGCTGGGGGCATCACAATGCCTGACTTTAAGCTGTATAACAAAGATGTGATCATCAAGACAGCATGGTACTGGCACAAAAACAGACACATAAATCACTGGAAGAGAATAGAAAGCCCAGAAATGGACCCTCAACTCTGTGGTCAACTAATCTTCAACAAAGTGGGAAGGAATATCCAATAGAAATAAGACAGTCTCTTCAATAAATGGTGCTGGGAAAATTGGATAGCCACATGCAGAAGAATGAAACTGGACTATTCTCTTAGACCATACACAAAGATAAACTCAAAATGGATAAAAGACCTAAATGTGAGACGGAATCCATCAAAATCCTAGAGGAGAACAACAAATGTTGGCGAAGATGTGGAATCAAGCTAGTACAGGTCCTCTGGAAAACAGTATGGAGGTTCCTCAAGAAGTTAAAAATAGAGCTTCCCTATGACCCAGTATTTGCACTACTAGGTATTTACCACAAAGATACAGATGTAGTGAAAAGAAGGGACATATGCACCCCAGCGTTCATAGAAACAACTTCCACAATAGTCGTAAGAGTGGGAGGAGCCAAGATGTCCTTCAATAGATGAATGGGTAAAGATGTGGTTCATATATACAATGGAACATTACTCAGCCATTAGAAAGGATGAATACCTACCATTTGCATCCACACAGATAGAACAGAGTATTATGCTAAGTGAAATAAGTCAAGCAGAGAAAGGCAGTTATCATATGGAACTCATACATGGAACATAAGGAATAGCGCAGAGGGCCATAGAGGAAGGGAGGGAAAACTGAATGGAAAGAAATCAGAGAGGGAGACAAACCATGAGAGACTCTAGACTCTGGGAAACAAACTGAGGGTTGCAGAAGGCAGAGGGTGGGGGGTTGGGGTAACGGAGTGAATGGCATTAAGGAGGGTACATTATCTGATGAGCACTGGGTGTTATATGCAACTAATCAATCATTGAACACTACATCAAAAACTAATGATGTACTATATGTTGGCTAATTGAACTTAATAAAGAAAGACTTTTAAGGATGAAACTAACAGATAAAAGTATTTAGATTTATTTCTATACGTACATAATGAATTGATTCTTTTTTTCTAAGTGCACACATATAATCTTAGACAATGCTGATGTTCTGAGCCAGTATCAACTGAAGTCTATCCAAAAGAACCATATCCATATTATAAACCCAGATTTTATATGGGACTCTATCAAAGAAAGGAGGCTTTTGGACGTAATGAATTATGATCCTAATAAGGCACTGGACATCACACCACCTCCTTGTCATAAGGCAAGCAGTTCTGGTAAGTATTTTATATCAAGCGCTTAATATATTACAGATGCTATAGTAAACATTTTGGTTTATCAAAGGCAGTATAGTTGAAGAATGGTCTAGACATATTACAAAAATTATCAAACATCCTCAGGTCCTTCATTTGTGACATGATGGCACTGGGGAACTCATTTTGACCCTGCAGCATACTAGAAATGCATTTCATAACTATACTCACCATAATCTTTTTTTTTTAAGATTTTTATTTATTTATTTGATAGACACAGAGAGATCACAAGTAGGTGGAGAGGCAGACAGAGAGAGAGGGGGAAGCAGCCTCCCTACCGAGTAGAGAGCCCAATGTGGGGCTCGATCCCAGGACCCTGAGACCCTGACCCAAGCTGAAGGCAGAGGCCTAACCCACTGAGCCACCCAGGCACCCCTCACCATAATCTTAAAAAAAGAAAAATATCATTTGAAATTATATATCCATCAATGAGTTTCAAATAATACAGATATTAGAATTCTCCTCACATGTCTATTAAAATAAAATCATGATATATTCTCACTATCTTTTATTTTAATCTACCTTCTTTTTGTCCCATTTGTACTATCCTTAGATTACCAATTACTATAGTTACTTTAAGAACATTAAAAAAAAAAAAAGGAATAGCGTGTTAAGTATTACCTATATTCAAGAATCTTAAAAATTCTAGGATTTATTGTTTATAATTTTAATAAATCTTTGAGTAGTAAACAAGTGTTTTTGTTTTTGTTTTAGAAGTGACAACAGATGATCCGTACCTGGACAATTCCATGGAGAAGGAAAACATTTTGGAATTCACAGAGTAATCTACTTTTTTTTTTTAATTTAATTTTATTTATTTAATTTATTTATTTGTGTGTGTGAGAGAGAGAGAGCACGCACAAACAGGGGGAGCAGCAGACAGAGGCAGAATCAGGCTCCCCACTGAACAAGGAGCCTGATGAAGTATTCCCAGGACTCTGGGATCCTGACCTGAGCTGATGGCAGATGCTTAACTGACTGAGTCACACAGGTGTCCTCAGAGTAATCTACTTCTAATCATTAAGATTCAGTTTGCAAAATGTTTTGTAAACCTCAAGCACAGGTTTTGTTTTGTTTTTTAAGATTCTATTTATTTATTTATTTATTTGAGAGAGAGACAGAGAGAGCGAGTAGGAGGGTGGAGCAGAGGGAGAGAGAGAAGGACAAACAGACTCCCCGATAAGCAATAAGTGGGGAGCCCGATGCGGGCTTGATCTGATAACACTTGAAATCATGACCCGAACTGAAGAAAGATGCTCAAACAGTTTTAAAATGCTATTAATACCTCATGTTTTTGTAGTATTTTCATTTATCTTGCTTCTCTAATTCTAGGCTTTTGTTTATTTAAGACTTTTTACCTCAACTAGTATAGTGCTAATTATTTCCATCTTAGTATTATATAAGAATGGACATAATTGTTAGATTGATTTTTAAAAAGAGAAGGCACTGGAGATGAGATATGGGTAGTCTGCTTACCCTGCTACCTTACCGAGAAGCCTTTAGAGTTGAGACTCTTCCTTACTCCCTACCTAATATGTAAAAAATAGAAATAGTGACAACCTTCTGCAAATGGAGTATATGAGGCTACAGGGGTTTTTTTGTTCATTTTTTGTTTGTTTGTTTTTGTTGTTGTTGTTTTGTTTTGTGCTTCTTTATTTAACAGAGAGAGACAGTGAGAGAGGGAATACAAGCAGGGGGAGTGCGAGAGAGAGAAGCAGGTCCCTCCACCCCCACCTTAGCAGGGAGTCCAAGTCAGGCTCTATCCCAGGACCCTGGGATCATGACCTGAGTGAAGGTAGACGCTTAAGGACTGAGCCACCCAGGTGCCCCGAAACTACAGTTATATATGGTTTTGTAAAGCATACCCACAACTGTAGTATCAATTAAGCATCACATTGAGCCTTATTTTATTTGTTAATAGTACTGTTAAAAGACAGAACAAATATAAAAAATAAAAGTACAGACTATGCGAAATCTGATGCCTTTATTTTAAAGGGGGTGGGGAATGACTGTAGTACAGAGTCTCCGGTATGATCCTGCCTGAGTGACACAGCTTCATTAGGGCCAGGACCCAAGAGAGCACAGGTCACCTGCCACTGCTAGGACTGGTGCTCTCTCCAGTGCACTGGCCTGCTTCTCTTTCACCTCCATTTGTGCTTCATCCCACCCCACCTTCCAATGCAGACACTCAGTATTCGGCATCAGAGCTCTAGAGTTATCCAAAGGAGGAATCCAGCTCATTACACAAGACTTTTTAACCATTTTCAGAGTATCTGAGGAGGGATTAGGGACTTAAAATGTATTTTGTATGTAATTAGGGGATAGTAAGAAAAATTTTATGAATATTCTGTTTAATCTAAAATTCCATTTTAATGTTAAAATTTTATTATACAAGTTTCAGGTTTCGTAAACAGAATGTTGAAATTCCTCATTTTCCACAAGACTTTGAAGTTGCAAAATACAACACCTTGGAAAAAGTAAGAGGCTGATTTGTATTTTATATTTAAAATTTAATATTTATCTTTTTAGTGTTTTTATTATAAAGGTAATATGTGCTCATAATAAAAATATAAACAGTACAAAATATTAACATAACTTTATTTTTTTATTAAAGATTTTATTTACTTATTTGACAGAGAGATAAAGAGCACAAGCAGGCAGAGAGGCAGGCAGAGAGAGAGGGGGAAGCAGGCTCTCTGCTGAGCAGAGAGCCCAATGCGGGGCTCGATCCCAGGACCCTGAGATCATAACTTGAACTGAAGGCAGCCGCTTAATGACTGAGCCACCCAGGCACCCCTCGTTTTTTTTTGAGTAGATTTGACACCAAGTATTTACATTATTCATTAAAAAGAAAAAGAGGAAATTATTTCTCCAGTATCATATAAGTGAAAACCCTAGCATTCAAAATGATGCTGATTTACATATTTTAGATATTTTAATAAAATATAACTTAAAAACATTTCCTCTGTGATAAAGAAAATATAAAAAGTGGTACAGTTTAAACATATACAGATATAGCTATAAACTATATGTACTTTTTTTTTAATTTTTAAATCTTTTATTAACATATAATGTATTATTAGCCTCAGGGGTACAGGTCAGTGAATCGCCAGGTTTACACACTTCACAGCACTCACCATAGCACATACCCTCCCCAATGTCCATAACCCAACCACCATCTCCCTCCTCCCAGCAACCCTAGGTTTGTTTTGTGATATTAAGAGTCTCTTATGGTTTGTCTCCCTCCTGATCCCATCTTGTTTCATTTTTTCCTTCCTTATCCCCCAAACCCCCCATGTTGCCTCTCAAATTCCTCATATTAGGGAGATTATATGATAATTGTCTTTCTGTGATTGACTTATTTCGCTCATCATAATACCCTCTAGTTCCATCCATGTTGTTGCAAGTGGCAAGATTTCATTTCTTTTGATGGCTGCATAGTATTCCATTGTATATATACACCATATCTTCTTTATCTGTTCATCTGTTGGTGGACATCTAGGTTCATTCCATAGTTTGGCTATTGTGGACATTGCTGCTATAAACATTCGGATACATGTGCCCCTCCAGATCACTACATTTGTATCTTCGGGGTAAATACCCAGTGGTACAATTGCTGGGTCATAGGGTAGCTCTATTTTTAACTTTTAGAGGAACCTCCATGCTGTTTTCCAGAGTGGTTGCACCAGCTTGCATTCCCACCAACAGTATAGGAGGGTTCCCCTTTCTCCTCATCCTTGCCAGCATTTGTCATTTCCTGACTTGTTAATTTTAGCCATTCTGACTGGTGTGAGGTGGTATCTCATTGCGGTTTTGATTCGTATTTCCATGATGCCGAGTAATGTGGAGCACTTTTCATGTGTCTGTTGGCCATCTGGATGTCTTCTTTGCAGAAATGTCTGTTCATGTCTACTGCCCATTTCTTGACTGGATTATTTGTTCTTTGGGTGTTGAGTTTGCTAAGTTCTTTATAGATTTTGGATACTAGCTCTTTATCTGATATGTCATTTGCAAATATCTTCTCCCATTCTGTCAGTTGTCTTTTGGTTTTGTTAACGGTTTCCTTTGCTATGCAAAAACTTTTGATCTTGATGAAATCCCAATAGTTCATTTTTGCCCTTGCTTCCCTTGCCTTTGGTGATCTTCCTAGGAAGAAGTTGCTGCAGCTGAGGTCGAAGAGGTTGCTGCCTGTGTTGTCCTCAAGGATTTTGATGGATTCCTTTCTCACATTGAGGTCCTTCATCCATTTTGATTCTGTTTTTGTGTGTGGTGTAAGGAAATGGTCCAGTTTCATGTTTCTGCCTGCGGCTGTCCAATTTTCCCAACACCATTTGTTGAAGAGGCTGTCTTTTTTCCACTGGACATTCTTTTCTGCTTTATCGAAGATTAGTTGACCATAGAGTTGAGGGTCTATTTCTGAACTCTCTATTCTGTTCCATCGATCTATGTGTCTGTTTTTGTGCCAGTACCATACTGTCATGAGGATGACAGCTTTGTCATAGAGCTTGAAGTCCGGAATTGTGATGCCACCAACTTTGGCTTTCTTTTTCAACATTCCTCTGGCTATTTGAGGTCTTTTCTGGTTCCATATAAATTTTAGGATTATCTGTTCCATTTCTTCAAAAAAAAAAAAAAATGGGTGGGATTGTGATAGGGATTGCCTTAAATGTGTAGATTGCTTTAGGTAGCATAGACATTTTCACAAAATTTGTTCTTCCAATCCAGGAGCATGGAACATTTTTCCATTTCTTTGTGTCTTCCTCAGTCTCTTTCATGAGTACTTTTAGTTTTCTGAGTACAGATTCTTTGCCTCTCTGGTTAGGTTTATTCCTAGGTATCTTGTTTTGGGTGCAATTGTAAATGGGATTGACTCCTTAATTTCTTTCTTCTGTTTTGTTGTTGGTGTATAGAAATGCAACTGATTTCTGTGCATTGATTTTATATCCTGACACTTTACTGAATTGCTATACAAGTTCTAGCAGATTTGGAGTGGAGTCTTTTGGGTTTTCCACATATAGTATTATATCATCTGCAAGGAGTGATAGTTTGACTTCTTCTTTGCCGATTTGGATGCCTTTAATTTCTTTTTGTTGTCTGATTGCTGAGGCCAGGACTTCTAGTACTACGTTAAATAGCAGTGGTGATAATGGACATCCCTGCCGTGTTCCTGACCTTAGCGGCAAAGCTTTCAGTTTTTCTCCATTGAGAATGATATTTGCAGTGGGTTTTTCATAGATGGCTTTGATAATATTGAGGTATGTGTCCTCTGTCCCTACACTTTGAAGAGTTTTGATTAGGAAAGGATGGTGTACTTTGTCAAATGCTTTTTCAGCAACTATTGAGAGTATCATATGGTTCTTGTTCTTTCTTTTATTAACGTGTTGTATCACATTGATTGATTTGCGGATGTTGAACCAACCTTGCCGCCCTGGAAAAAATCCCACTTGGTCGTGGTGAATAATCCTTTTAATGTACTGTTGGATCCTATTGGCTAGTATTTTGGTGAAAATATTCGCATCTGTGTTCATCAAGGATATTGGTATGTAATTCTCCTTTTTGATGGGGTCTGTGTCTGGTTATGGGATCAAGGTAATGCTGGCCTCGTAAAATGAGTTTGGCAGTTTTCCTTCCTTTTCTATTTTTTAGAACAGTTTCAGGAAAATAGGTGTTAATTCTTCTTTCAATGTTTGGTAGAATTCCCCTGGGAAGCCGTCTGGCCCTGGGCTTTTGTTTGTTTGGAGATTTTTGATGACTGCTTCAATCTCCTTGCTGGTTATGGGTCTGTTCAGGTTTTCTGTTTCTTCCTGGTTCACTTGTGGTAGTTTATATGTCTCTAGCAATGAATCCATTTCTTCCAGATTGTCAGATTTGCTGGTGTATAGATGCTCATAATATGTTCTTATAATTGTTTGTATTTCTGTGGTGTTGGTCGTGGTTTGTCCTCTTTCATTCATGACTTTATTTATTTGGGTCTTTTCTCTTTTCTTTTTGATAAGTCTGGCCAGAGATTTATCAATCTTATTAATTCATTCAAAGAACAAGCTCCTAGTTTTGTTGATTTGTTCTATTGCTTTTTTTGTTTCTATTTCATTGATTTCTGCTCTGATCTTTATTATTTCTCTTCTCCTGCTGTGTTTATGCTCTTTGCTGTTCTTTCTCCAGCTCCTGTAGGTGTAGGGTTAGGTTGTGTATTTGAGACCTTTCATATTTCTTTTTTTTTTTTTAAAGATTTTATTTACTTATTTGAGAGAGAGAGAGAGAGAGAATGAGAGGAGAGAAGGTCAGAGGGAGAAACAGACTCCCCATGGAGCTGGGAGCCTGATGTGGGACTCGATCCCCAGACTCTGGGATCATGACCTGAGCCGAAGGCAGTTGCTCAACCAACTGAGCCAGCCAGGCGGCCCCGACCTTTCTTATTTCTTAAGAAAGGCTTGTATCTCTATATATTTTCCTCTCAGGACTGCCTTTGCTGTGTCCCACAGATTTTGAACTGTTGTGTTTTCATTATCATTTGTTTCCATGAATTTTTTCAATTCTTCTTTAATTTCCTGGTTGACCCATTCATTCTTTAGTAAGATGCACTTTAGCCTCCATATATTTGAGTTCCTTCCAAATTTCCTCTTGTGACTGAGTTCTAGCTTCAGAGAATTGTGGTCTGAAAATATGCAGGGAGTGATCCAAATATTTTGGTACCGGTTGAGACCTGATTTGTGACCCAGGATGTGATCTGTTCTGGAGAATGTTCCATGTGCACTAGAGAAGAATGTGTCTTTTGTTGCTTTGGGATGGAATGTTCTGAATATATCGGTGATGTCCATCTGGTCCAGTGTGTCATTTAAGGCCTTTATTTCCTTGTTGATCTTTTGCTTGGATGGTTTGTCCATTTCAGTGAGGGGGTTGTTAAATTCTATTATTGTATTATTGTCAATGTGTTTCTTTGATTTTGTTATTAATTTGTTATTAATTTGTTTCTGTAGTTTTCTGCTCCCATGTTAGGGGCATAGATATTTAAAACTATTAGAGCTTCTTGTTGGACAGACCCTTTGAGTATGATATAGTGTCCTTTCTCATCTCTCATTATAGTCTTAGGCTTAAAATCTAATTGATCTGATATAAGGATTGCCATGCTAGCTTTCTTTTGATGTCCATTAGCATGGTAAATTGTTTTCCACCTCCTCACTTTAAATCTGGACGTGTCTTCAGGTCTAAAATGAGTTTCTTGTAGGCAGCATATTGATGGGTTTTGTTTTTTTATCCATTCTGATACCCTTTGTCTTTTGATTGGAGCATTTAGCCCATTTACATTCAGGGTAACTATTGAGAGATATGAATTTAGTGCCATTGTATTGCCTGTAAGGTGACTGTTACTGTATATTGTCTCTGTTCCTCTGGTCTACTACTTTTAGGTTCTCTCTTGGCTTAGAGGACCCCTTTCAGTATTTCCTGTAGCGCTGGTTTGGTGTTTACAAATTCTTTCAGTTTTTGTTTGTCCTGGACGCTTTTTATCTCTCCTTCTATTTTCAGTGATAGCCTAGCTGGGTATAGTATTCTTGGATGCATGTTTTTCTCATTTAGTGCTCTGAATATATCATGCCAGGTCTTTCTGGCCTGCTAGGTCTCTGTGGATAAGTCTGCTGCCAGTGTAATATTTCTACCATTGTATGTTACAGACTTCTTGTCCCGGGCTGCTTTCACTAAGACTTTTAAGTTTTACTACTAGTGACGGGGTGTGGACCTATTCTTAATGGTTTTGAGGGGGTTTCTCTGTGCCTCCTTGATTTTGATGCTTGTTCCCTTTGCCATATTAGGGAAATTCTCTACAATAATTCGCTTCAATGTACCTTCTGCTCCCCTCTCTCTTTCTTTCTTCTTCTGGAATCCCAATTATTCTAATATTGTTTCATCTTATGTTATCACTTATCTCTTGAATTCTCCCCTCGTGGTCCAGTAGTTGTCTCTCTTTTTCTCAGCTTCATTATTCTCCATCATTTGGTCTTCTGTATCACTAATTCTCTCTTCTGCCTCATTTATCCTAGCAGTAAGAGCCTCCATTTTTTATTGTACCTCATTAATAGCTTTTTTGGTTTCAGGTTGGTTAGATTTTAGTTCTTTTATTTCTCCATAAAGGGCTTTTATTTCGCCGGACAGGGCTTCTCTAATATCTGCCATGCCTTTTTTGAGCCCAGCTAGCACCCTGAGAATCGTCATTCTGAACTCTAGATCTGACATACTACCAATGTCCGTATTGATTGGGTCCCTAGCCTTCGGTACTGCCTCTTGTTCTTTTTTTTGTGGTGACTTTTTCCACCTTGTCATTTTATCCAGATAAGAATATATGGAGGAGAGAATAAAATACTAAAAGGGTAGCAAAGACCCCAGAACAATGTGCGTTAACCAAATCAGAAGAGACCCCAAATCATGGGGAGAAGAAAGGGGGTACAAAGAAGTAAAAAAAAATTATATATATATATCTATATATATATCTATATATATATAGATATATATATAGATATATATATTTTAGACTGATGAATAGAATAGAGCCACCCACTTGATTTTGGGTGTATTTTGGTCTCTTAGAAGAAACTACCTTCCATATATATATACATATACACACATACACACAAATAAGAGTAAACACAATGAAGGGATGAAATATGACTGTAAAGATGAAGATTAAAAAAAATTCTAAAAAAGGAGTTGATAAGATAAGTTGGTTGGGAAAAGAAAGAAAAGAAAGTGTAGAGAATTTGCTCAGGCTGGAGACTAGAATAAAGCCCTGTGCTAGATTTAGGGTGTATTTTGATCTATTAGAAGAAGTATTCCAAAATTTTTTTAGAAGAAAAAACCCTATATGTATACAAAAGATAAAGTTAGGTACAATGAAGGATAAAATATGATTATAATAATGAAGATTGAAAAAGATTTTTTTAAAGAAAATTAGTGTTAAGATAAACTAGTTTATAAAAATGTTAAAAGACAAAAGATTAGAAGTTAAAAAACTTAGAGCAAGAAAAAATAAAATTAAAAAAATTTTATTAATTTTGTAAGACTAAAGAATAATGGGGAGGAAGCCATGAATTCCATGCTTTGCTTTCCCTGCCTCTGGAATTCTGCTGTTCTCCTTGATCAGTGGGCTCGTATGTCGCCCTTGCTAGGGGCTGGGCTAAGTAATCAGCTCAGTTTCACTCTCAGGATCTTTTGTTCCCTGATTGCTTTCCGTAGAGTTCTGGAGATTGGGAATGAACATGGTGGCTTCCCAGTCTCCAGCCCGGAGGAGCCGAGAGCTTGGGACCCACTTCTCAGTGCACCCTTGGAGAAAAGCACTCAGTCACCCCCGTCTCCCTGGTCTCCAACCATACTCCAAGCTTACCCAGCCTGTGACCAAGCGTTTCTGTCTCTGGTACACAGCCCCATTTGGAGTCTCCAAACCCAGCAGATTTTTGCCGCTCTGCTCTTCCAGGGGTTTCTCCCCAGATCTGCCACTTTTGGGGTCCCTACTCAAAGAGCAGTGGCCTGACTGTGCCACAGATCACAGTTTAGGGTAACCCTGAGCTGAGAGCTCACTCTTTGGCTCTGTCTCTGCAGCTGGCTTCCCCGCTCTAATAACTGCGAGCTCTGCTACACTCAGACACCCCGAACCTTCTGTGACCCTATGTGACCTGAGACCATGCTGTCACCTCGAGGGCTCCACCCCGGCTTAGCCTCTGGATCAATGTCCCTCGGTGGAGCAGACCTTTAAAAGTTCTGATTTTGGCTCCGTTGCTCCACTGCTTGCCGAGAGCCGGCCCTTCCTCCCTGCAGTCTATCTTCCTGTTGCTTCAGATTCACTTCTCCACACGTCCTACCTTTCAGAAAGTGGTCAATTTTCTGTTTCTAGAATTGCTGCTCTTCTTCTCTTCGATCTCCTGTTGGATTTGTAGGTGTTTGGAATGGTTTGATAACTATCTAGCTGAACTCCTGCAACCTGATGTCATCTCAGCCTGCTACTCCTCCGGCATCTAGACTGCTCCCCTGTAAACTGTATATATAGTTTAAACATATATTGTAGGAAACATACCAAAATATAAATAGTAATTCTATATCTATAGTATGATTTCAGGTAATTTTTATTTTTTCTTCATACTTTCTGTATTTTCCAAATTATATCTCCAAATGACTGGTATTAGTTTTATAATCAGAATTTTTAAATGGTGTGTGTGGCTTGTTATTGAGTGGATACAGCTTCTGAAAGAACAACCTATTTTCCAGATCGGGGCAGAGGGAGGAAAGGAGGTGGCAGTGGTAGAGCTACAGAGCTCCCAGGACCCCAGGGATCCTGCCTTTCTCATATCTGCACACTTCCTCTTGGCCAATGGCCTCAAGGTAATGATCTTTTTTTTTTTTTTTAAGATTTATTTATTGATTTGAGAGAGAAAGCGTCAGGGGCAGGGAGAGAGGGAGAGAGTCTTAAGTAGACTCTGCACTGAGCGCAGAGCCTAATGCTGAGCTAGATCTCACAACCCTGAGATCATGACCTGAGCCAAAACCAAGAGTCAGGCCCTTAACCAACTGTGCCTCCCAGGCACCACAAGATAATGATCTTTATGTTGATTCCTGTGTGTTTGTTTATCTGCTCTGTTCATATCTACTTTCCTTAACATTGGTCAATGAACCAGCCAAATTGTTAACCTTTTTACCTGATAAATAATTTTGAAAGGTAAAAACATGTTCTCCATTGGAATATGGCAGGTGAGGGGAAGAAGGTGAGAGAAGTGCTCTGACTAGAACAGTACAGGGTTCTTTCTTGTCAGAGGGAAGTATTCACTGGGTGCAGGGAGTGTAGGCCTCCTGCTCCTGTGCTGAATCACTTATAGCAACTTTACTAATGTATACTCTGCTAAAAGCAATCCATTCACACACTTAGTTAAGTACCTACTACATACCAGCCAATCTACTGGAGCCCAAAGATAAAAATTACTTCAAACCCTGCCGCTCAGAGATCTCTGCCAGGGATGAAACTACACATTCATGATTATAATCCACTGGGACAGAATTGATACTAAAATGTGGTAGAAAGTATTGTAGGCTCAGAAATGGCAAGGAAAGCTTTGCAGAGGCCAAATTAGGTCACATTAGGTCACAGTCAAATCAAGGGCATGGTTCCAACCTGAAACAATTATGAAACAAAAATAAATTCAGAACTTACACCTAAAATTCAAAGCACATGCTGCTACACTATCAGGGTATCTTCTGTCTAGACAGATTTACAGGCAGGAAACACAGCACCCTCAGGGCACACAGGCTCACCTGAGTGGGAGTGGTCCTCACAGCCTTGCACTCAGGCTCTGGATGCTTCTGGCTTTGCCCCCACTGGAGGTTTCAGCTCTGGTGCCAGGAGGGATACTCACCTCAGGTCAGTATGGGATCCACCTGACTCAGAAGCCCACCCAAAGTAGCCCATACCTGTCATGACATGGGCCTAAGTTCAAGATGTCTTTAAGGGAGGCACTCATTACTTATGTTGCTGCTCTCAGGGAAGCCCAAGGGTCAGGTTTCCCACCCACCATTTATGGTTCATTCATTGAGCTCCCAGTCCTGATGTAATTTATTCATGAGAAGTGACTGTTATCCAAGCAATTTTGCCATATCAGGTTTCCATGTGAATAGATAAAAAAGCCAATCCAAGTCAAATATGTCTAAGTAGGAGAAAGGCTTCTGTTATCCTTTTACCCAAAAATGTGTGCTGTATTTTGTGGAGGGTTTAGTTGTATGGATAAAAAGTAAGGAAACATCAAGTCAAAAACCATGATAGAACATGTTATAATTGTTTTTCTTTACTGAAAAAGAAAATGGTAAGGCTGAATAGGCCACCGTCCCCTCCTGCTTACTATCCCAAGAGCTCTTCCTGGGTGCCTTCCTCCCTTGGCAAGCCTAAGTCTGAGAATGCAAGTAGAGGGCTCCTCAGGTGAGTCTGTTCACTTTGATAGAAATTATCATCGCTTAAACAACACTGAAAGAGCTGTTCTTCAGAAGAGACTTTTCTCACTTGCCTGTCTCTCATACAAAAACATTTTGTGGAAATTCCAAAATTATGTTAGAACTCTATCTTCTTAAATTGGGTAACTTGAACATGATATGTTTCTTTTCTCCATGTTTTGGAGGCACCCTGTAGCCACAAATTCAGGAGAGTGGTATATGGTGTCATGGGTGGTCTGGCTCCCCCTGCCCCTGAGGGCACACACTCCAGAGCCAGGGGCTTAGGCAACACCCACAGGCCCCAGCTGGGGCTAGACTTCCACATTCTCTGAGGTTAATAAGTTTGGGACAACCGCTCACTATAGGAGCAAGGATTCCCAGGAAAAGCTGACAAATGCCACATCTATGGGCAGGTTGGAAGGAAGCAGGCAGTTTGTATCTATCCAGAAGACACCTTGCTCCATGCCTTTACATTATTTGCATGACCAAGAACTTTCCTGCTTTCTCCTTGCTGGTAGCTATCATTTCATTTTGACTGTGTGCTTTCTCTAACACAGTCAGAGAAGTATTTTTCTGAAGTATTTTTTATTTTCTGCCCCTCCCTGATCTATTTTGCTCATTTCCAAAAAGCTTGAATGCCAGACTTCAAAGCTCATTAGACTAGTATGTAAAGTAAGAGTATGAAGTCTCTGAACAGACGTTTGAGTGACTCTCCCGTGAATCATATGCATCCCTTCTGCCTGTTGTGCCTACTCAGGCTTTTCTCCCTTTACTTTCAGGTGTTAGGCAGTTTTGTGAAGAATTGAAGATTTAAGTAATTCTTTGAAAAAACTAATTAACACCTTCATGGTGGGGATCCATTGCCTTATTTACATTCCATTTTCCCATGGTGCATAGGTGTTCAATAAAGATCATAGGTTAATAAGTGACTGTATCCCCACATCCTAACATTTTGCTCCACACTATAATTCACAGACTAGAAAGTTCTCTGTAAAGAAAACTTCTGCAGATGCAAGTGAATACTATGAAAATTACATTGAAGAGCTGAAGAAACAAGGATTTCTGCTAAGAGAACATTTTACACCTGAAGCAACCCAGTTAGCATCTGAAAAACTGCAAGCAGTAAGATTGATTTCTATGTACTATTTTGTGTGAGTGATTGAATATTTTTAATAGAAACATTTTCTTTACAACAAATAAAAACATGGTAAGAGAAAGGAGTCAGAGTTAAGAACAAGAAAAGTAAACTCATAGACAAGTGTGGGAGCCGGGTAAGGAGTGAGTTCTAGGATGAACCACAAAACTTCTTGCTTGCTTCAGCAACAAACCCCCATGGCTTTCAAAAAACTTCATTATAACCTAGGCCAAGAATCAGGGGTCCTTAACCCTTAATGCCACTTAAACTTTGATGTCACTGGGAGGCCTAAAGCTTATAGAATGAAGGAAAAGGTAAAAGGAAACATAAAGTGGGAGTAAAAGATAGAAAGGGGAAATCTAGAGAGTATAGGAAGGAAGTGGAGGCACACAGAATTATCAGTCGTTTGGCTGCCTATGACTCTCTCCTTGGCTGTGATGATTTCTTCTCTCGTCTCTGTTATCAGCCCACTAATGAAACCTTTTGTTGGTGGGGTTTTTTGTTTTTTGTTTTTTGTTTTTTTTTTTAACTTTATTGTTGCAGTTGCTTTTGGAGGAGGTAATAAATTCAAGCACTCTGAGCAAAGAAGTGAGCGATTTGGTGGAAATGGTTTGGGCGGAAGCTTTCGGCCACCTGGAGCACATGCTTCTCAAGCCTGTGAACAGGATTAGTCTCAATGATGTGAGTCACGTGTGCCCTTGAAGGAGAACCTCAATCATGACAATTTCTGCTTTCTGGTTTACTAGCTTAAATCATGCTATGTGTGTTTGGTGCTGGTCCAGATGTTTCTGGATGCATTCCTGATGTGCTTTTTTTTTTTTTTTTACTTTGGAAAAAGGGAACATTGAGAGCACTAAGGGGAAAACAACCTTTGAAGAAAACTAGATGTTCTTATCTATATAACATATCAGACCCAAGAGCTGCTCCAAGCTTCACTTTTTGGTGCCATCTCATTGGGAGGCCTGCTCCTTTATGTTGCAAGGTGTTTAGCAGGCCTGAGGGACAGGGTTGCACTTGGTCCTTAGACGCTCAGAACTTCGTCCACTTCAGAGCCACTGCTTCCCAGTCTTGTAAATTGTGACCATTTTAGGGAAAGTCAGGGATGCTCCCAGTCCTTCAGAAAAATGCTCTTTTTAATTTTATATGATTTTATGATTGAAAAAGCAGATGAAAGAAAATATTCCCAATGGTACAACTTGTGCAACTGCATTGTCACAGTAAAATAATACAGTTTCCCTCTGTGGAACTAAACTAATTTATTTCAGGGAGAAAAAGTTTTTCTGGGTCAAAGTCCAAATAGTATTTGTGTAATTAGAAACATGTTCTGCTGGATTTTGTGCCTAGTGTGATTCTGACATCTTTCTAAACTTCTTGTGTGAAAAGCAAGTCTCCTGTGGTTGCATTAGTATTCCTCTCCTGTGGATATAGAAAGAGATGGAGATGCAGTTGTGAATAGAGATACGGATGTAGATGTAGATATAGATCTAGATACACAATATAGATATTTAAGGCTCTGGTTTTTTCCTCTAGTTAAGCTGAGCCTGGTTTTGGAAGATTTCTCATGGCATCATCGTCACAACTGATATACATCTGTAAACATGGCACCTGTTTTATGGCTGGTGTCCAATTGAAAACCATTAGTTGTGACATAACTAACAACCATTTTAGATGTTTTTATGCGTGTTCCTTCACCTTTTCTCTGATGGTAAAGATTCAACTTTAAGACACATATATTGTCCTCCATTTAAAGGTGAGCAAGGCAGAGGGAGTTCTCCTTCTAGTAAAGGCTGCATTGAAAAATGGAGAAACAGAAGAACAACTGCAAAAAATGATGACTGAGTTCTACAGATTAATACCTCACAAAGGCACAACAACTGAAAAAGTGAACCTGAGACTATTAGCTAAGAAAGAGGACCTCTGCCAGGTAAATCTCTGAAATACGGAATTCAATTCATTATATGTTGGGGAAGAGTCTTTTCAAATCTGATTAATAAGGTAGTACTGAATCACAGAAGTTGGCTCAAAAATGAATGTTGAGCCAATTTAGAATGCTTTGGATTCTTATGGAGATTACCTGAAGCATGTTCCCAAACATGAATGTGTTGGAATAGTATACAAAGGCAGATATACTTAGAATTGCTACACCGTTAAGTAATTTTCTATATCAGGATGATGCCGGCAGGCCAGACCTGAGGACCTGGAGGGAGTCCCACAGGATCAGCCGAGAGGATCCCTTACTACTCACAAGATAGAGATAGAACGTGGGCCAGCAGGAGGCCAAAGCAGAGTTTACTGAAGGTAGAGAAAGAGAACAGGTACAGACAGTGTTTGGGAGACTCGGTAAGGAAAGGAGGGGGTCTTATCTTTGCTTGGTGTCTGGGGTTGTTATTGAGGATCATGGTCTGGCGCCCAGGACCTGGTTAGAATAAAGACAGGGCCCAGGTGTTATTCGCTGGAGCCAGTGCGTCTTGTTGTGAAGATGTCTAGTTCTGGTGGTCTAGAATGCTCATAAGATAACTTCGTCCGGTTGTTCTCACCTGGTCTTTCCTTAGATGTTATCTGTTCTCGAGAAATCCAGAGGACATAATGCTATTTGCTTCATAGGCATGTGTGAAGTGGAGGTCCTAGCAGGAATAGAAACAGGAAAAGGAACAAAAGCAGATTTTTATGGAGTCCTTCAGTTTCCCTGTCTCAAGGAGAGGAGTTAGGATTCTTTTTGCAAAAGAAACAGAAAGCTGGCATTGACTTGAACAATGAAGATACTTATTACCCTATATAACAAGAAGCCAGTTATAGGGTGGCTGCTGGTCCAGTCGCTCAGAGGGAGAATTATCAACGAGGACCCAGCTTCTTTTCATCTCTGTGGTTCCTGTAAACTTAGCTTCCCTCTCAGCCCGCCTCACCTTACATGACCTTATAACTGCAGTTGTTCATAGCATCCCAACTGGAGTATTTCTTTTCTTATCTTTTAGGACAAGCTTCCCTGGCCCTGTAGACTCTTTGGTTAGTATTTTGCTCAGAACTGAGTCATATGCGAATTCCTAAGCCAAGGAATCTAAGGCAAGGAGAGTGGAATTACTGACTCTACAGAAATGGGCCCTCTCCCTTGAGCTGTAGGGGAGGGAGCTGGACGCAGTTAGCAAAGAGGAAAGCAGGAAGGCAGCCCCAGTGTGCCCCTCGCCTTAGATGAGACCAATTCACTCCCTGGCTCTGAGTTGCCTCATCTGTGCATGAAGGAATTGGGACATGATCAGAAATCCATGACCTAGACTGCAAAAGAGCTCGGAGGTACAAAATTTTACATGTTTGAAGGAAATTATAGCTCTCAACAGATTCCTGGATACATCTATAATCCAAAATAAGTGAAGAATCAATAAATGAGATGATAAGAGAGCCTTCCAAATTTAAAGTTTCATGATTTGCCTACCACCCAACATTAAGAACCTCAGTTGCTCATTCTCCTACTGAGAAGGTATATGTAGTGCCCCTCCAAATACTTTTTCATTTAACTTTTATATTTTCAATAGGTAATACATTTGTATTATTCAAAAGTCAAAATTGTATTTAAAAGGTTCACTCAGCACAATCTGTATTCTACCCTGCCCTTCCACCCATTCCAACTCCCCAACTTGATAACCATGTCTTGTTTGTCTTTGCAGTTTCTTTATGCAAATTATTATAAATATACACATATATACTTATTCCTCTCCCTTTCTTTTACATAAAAAGTTGTATACCATCTTTGCTGTTCCACACCCATTTTTCCCACTTAGAGAGAGTGTCCTCATTCCCCACATTGTATGGGCATCCCCTAATGTCAGATATTTGGACTGTTTCCAGATTTTGTTACTACAAACAATGCCAAAGTGAATATGCTTGTATATTTGTCATTTCATAACTGCACAGGAGTGTCTCTGAGATTCATCCCAGAAGTAGAAGTGCTGGCTTATGGGGTCAGTGCATCTGTAATTGTGATAGATTTTGTCTTATTCCCTCATGAATGTTCTATTATTTGCCCTCCCACTATCAGTGAATGAGACTTTCTATTTCCTGTAGTTTTACCAAAAGTATATTTGTTAAACTTTCAGACTTTACCGATTTTATGGATGAAAAATGACCTCTCAGTTACAGGACTTATATTTAGTTTATGTGGGTTTTGTTTTGTTTTTTTCTCTGAACTGTCTATTCATGTCGTTTGGCCCTTTTTCTTTCGGATCTTTCTATTTTTCTTCATGATTGTTATGACCTCTTAAGTTAGGGAGCTAGCCTGGGATATGAGTTATAAATATTTTCTTTAGTTTATTTGTTTTGCTTTGTTTTGTTTTACTTTGCTTGTGGTGGATGACTGGTTGATTTTTTCTATTTTACCATACAGAAAATTTTTACTTTTATATAGAAAAATGTATCAATCTTTTCTTTTATGGCTGGTGTATTTAATTACAGTTAGCCCATCCCTATATTGAGGTCATAAAGATGTGTGACAGGGCAAGATAGGGCCCCCCTGTCAATGTCTCTTTCATCTCAAAGATGGTAAAAGCAATATATCCTTAAAATAAACATAATTCAGATTATGTAGGAGCTATGTTCCTTCCTCCAAGCTCCATGACCTATGAGTATACTAAGTATACTTGGGTTCCCTCTCAGGGAAGACAACCATGTCTTACTCATTTTTGTATCTTTCAAACCTGATACAATGCCTGGCACACAGAACATGCTTAATGAAGTTTTGCTAACAGAATTGGACTTGAATTCTGATGATCTGAGTTCCTATTTAGTCACTTCCCTCTGTTTGCTGTGGAATCTTGAGCAATTATTTCAGCTCCTTGGGGCCTCACTTTCCCTATCTATACAATGAGGATAATAAGATCTAATAAGACCAGTACTATAGTGTGGATTAGAGGAACGATGTACCTGAAACACTTTATCAACAATGATGTGCTATCCTGATGTTTACTATTATTATTATTGTATATTATGCTATCACTGAGGGTACAATATATAATAAGAGTATTACCTTTAATGTGCAACTTACATATTGATCAAAAGCTTTGGGGGAGGGGTGCTGGCTGGCTCCGTCAGTGGAGCATGCAACTCTTGATCTCAGGGTTGTGAGTTTAAGCCCCATGTTGGGTGTAGAGATTACTTAAAAATAAAACCTTTAAAAAAAAACTTTAGGAAGAAAAACCCTTATTTTTCCAATCTTTTTGAGAAAGTGTAATGAGCTATAAATATTTTGATACAGAGTGATTCTGACATCTTGTATTATTTTTATCTACAGCTAATAAGAGACATGGTTAATATCTGTGAAACTAATTTGTTCAAACCCAACCCACCATCTCTTGCCAAATACCGAGCTTTGAGATGCAAAATTGAGCATGTTGAACAGAACACTGAAGAATTTTTCAGAGTTAAAGAAGAGGTTTTACAGAATAATTATAGGTATGCATAAAGGAAATGTCTTAGGAGCTGTTATTATGTAATACTGTTTCAGATACTGTTAAAGAACTAGTCCCCATAATTACTTGTGTAATTGAATCCTCTATAACAAGGTAGCTATGTTATGATGACAGATTACTTTCTTCTGTGCTTATAATGGGACTTGGGGGATGCCTGGGTGGCTCAGTCGGTTAAGTGTTCAACTCTTGATTTCAGCCCAGGTCTTGATCTCAGGGTCCTAAGTTCAAGCCCCACACTGGGCTCCATCCTGGACATGGAATCTACTTTAAAAAACCTACCTAAAAAAAAAAACCTATATATATATATATATATATATATATATATATGTGTGTGTGTGTGTGTGTGTATTTATATTTATATATATGTATATATATTTTTATATATGTATATATATTTTATATATATACATAATATATACATAATATCTTTATCTGTATGTATATAATATATATCTGATATATTATGTATATCTATATATAATAGATTTGGGACAGTATTCTGTGCTTGAAAACACTCCCTACTATTCCACTCCAATTTCAAGTTTATCTAATCTTGCTGAGAATTAAATTTAAAAACTTGAAATCACAAGGTATTTTTGTGTTTTGAAGGATATTATATAGCAAAATCTGCTTAAATTAAGATTTTAAGATGCAGGATTATGTGTGTGGCAGCTTCTAAAATGGCCACTCCAGGGGGTGCCTGGGTGGCTCAGTGGGTTGGGGCCTCTGCCATTGGCTTGGGTCGTGGTCCTGGGATCGGGCCCCGCGTCAGGCTATCTGCTCAGCGGGGAGCCTCCTTCCTCTTTCTGCCTGCCTCTCTGCCTAGTTGTGATCTCTGTCAAATAAATAAATAAATAAATAAATAAAATCTTTTAAAAAAATAAAATAAAATGGCCACTCCATGGCATGGAAACAGTTGAAAATCTGGAAAATACTTTAAGAGATATGACACCCCTAAAGGTCATTCACGTGTTTCCTCATTGACTGTGAGAGTCCCTATTTCTTGTGCCCTTGTGTGCTCTACAACACAGGGCAGCAGCAGTAACAACAGACGTATGTGGATCAGCCTCTCCAACAAGCCTGGACCCAGCTTCAAGGTTCAGAAACTAATTTGATGGGTTATTCTCAAGGGTGAGACTGACTTCCTCTGGTTTGGTCATTCATCCCACTAATGTAAACTCCTAGCACTCCTCTGCCTGAAGTTTTTCTTTTGGACCTTTCGGACATCTTGGCTCTCATTAGGTATAAAGGGCCAGGTTAACTTTAATCATAAGCCTTACACACTTAGAGCTAAAGATGGTGAACTGCAGCCCCTTGAACCAACTGCATAGGCCAGTTGTACATTTTTAGTCATGTAATATAACTCATGAAGGCCTTGGAGATCTCACCTCACACCCAAGTGATGTTGAACTGTTCATATGACAAAAGTGGACCTTTCCCTATGGAGAGATTCTGCTGCTGTGAAGAATTAGATTTTCTCCATTTTGTTTCACTAGTGATGATTTTCATATTAATTTTTTCTAGTTATAAAATTCGTATTCTTTGCTGAAAGTTTAGACAATGTGTGAAAGCATGATGAAAACTGAAGATCACCCAAATCTCACTACCCAGAGATAATATGACCACTGTTAACTTGTTGGTGTAGAATATATCCCAAACTCTGGGGTGCCTGGGTGGCTCAGTGGGTTAAGCCTCTGCTTTTGGCTGGAACCGTGATCTCAGGGTCCTGGGATTGAGTCCCGCATCGGGCTCTCTGCTCAGCAGGGAGCCTGCTTCCTCCTCTCTCTCTCTCTGCCTGCCTCTCTGCCTACTTGTGATCTCACTCTCTGTCAAATAAATAAATAAAATATTTTTAAAAAGAAGAATATAACCCAAACTCAATTATTGATTCTTTCCCATATCTAGTGGTATGCTGGCAAGCCAGCTCCCTAAAATAAAAGTCCTGACTTATAATAACTGTTGGCTTCTGTGATATAAATACTTCTACTATAGCTACTTTTAAGCTACCAGTGTGACACCAGAGAATGAGGGGTTGGGAAGACATGCTGGACAGGCTCTCTTACATTTTCTAACCCACAACTCTGTCTCTTCATAGTCCCCCAGTCTTTTCCCATGCTTCCTCATCCTAGTCACCCAGTCACCCAGAGCCATTGTCCACTCTCCTTCATCCACATATCACTGTGCCCTGTCAATTCTGTCTCCAAAATGTCTCTAAACCATTGGCTTCTTTCATTCACACTGCTGCCACCTTTAATCCAGATACTGCTGTCTCGCCTACTTCCTGACATTCTTTCTGCTCCTGCCCCAGCCAATTTATTTTCCCCAAACAACCAGTTAGGTCTTAAAATATATACTGTATTATATCATGTTGCAATGTCACTTTCAAAGATAGGCCTTTCTTGACCATCCTCTCTCTGAACCTGGTTAGTTTGCTGAATAGAATGTAAAATCAGTTATTTGTTAACTTCTAATTTTTGTCTCTCTCCATTAGGATACAAGCCCCGTGAAGCCAGAGACCATATTATCTCCCTTCCAGGGCCTGGCAGAATACTCAGCACAGAGTGTTTGTTTGTTTGTTTGTTTGTTTTAGAGAGAGAGAAACGAGAGTACAACCACATGCACATGGGAGCGGAAGGTGGGGATGAGTAGAGAGAGAATCCCAACCAGGCTCCATGCCTCGTGTGCCACCTGACCCAGGGCTTGATCTCATGACCCCAGTGAAATCAAGAGTCTGGTGCTTAACCAACTGAGCCACCCAGGCACTCCCAGAGTGTATTTGTTCAATGAATAAATGCATGAATGAATTCCATCTATATATTATATGTATTATATATATTATATATTTGACAAAATTTGAGATCATGCTGTGCATAAAGTTTTATAACTTATTTTTAAAATTTATTTTACTATGTTTTACTTCATATCCTTATTTTTTAAGAGTATGATTTCTTTAATGACTACATAATATTTCTAAGAAATGTTATGTTGTGATTCACTGAATCCATTCCATAATAATGGCCATTTGGGCTATTTTGGGCTTTCTGCTAATGATGATTTTTTATTTTGCTTTTGATTATGCAATCTCAAGGTTTTTCTTCTACTTTTCACAGCAAAGGTCCAGTGGATATCTTGCAGATATTTAGAGTTGGCAGAGTGAATGAAGCCACAGAGTTTTTGAACAAACTTGGCAATGTGAAGTCCTTACTGCATGGATCGCCTGTACAAAGCTTTGTTGGGATCCTGTCCCGGTAAGAGGATACCATGTTTATTTTCTAAATGTTTCTCCCTCATGAACATGAAGTGTTTTACCTTGTTTTCCTAATTTTTTTTTTCTATGCTACATGGGCCTCTTCAGTTAAAATTAGCTTATTGGGGGCACCTGGGTGGCTCAGTGGGTTAAAGCCTCTGCCTTCGGCTCAGGTCATGATCTCAGAGTCCTATGATCGAGCCCCACATCGGGTTCATGATCTCAGAGTCCTGGGATCAAGCCCCACATCTGGCTCTTTGCTCAGCAGGGAGCCTGCTTCCTCCTCTCTCTCTGCCTGTCTCTCTGCCTACTTGTAATCTCTGTCTGTCAAATAAATAAATAAAATCTTAAGAAAAAATAAAAAAAAATTAGCTTATTGTATTCCAGTGGAAACTGAACACTTTATTTGTTTAAAGATTTTATTTATTTGACAGACAAAGATCTCAAGTAGGCAGAGAGGCAAGCAGAGAGAGAGGAGGAAGCAGGCTCCCCACTGAGCAAAGAGCCTGATGCAGGGCTCCATCCAAGGACCCTGGGATCATGACCTGAGCCGAAGGCAGAGGCTTTAACCCACTGAGCCACCTAGGCGCCCCAAAACTGAACACTTTAAATTGTAATAAGTATAAGTTAAATTATTTACTTATTATTATATATTTTTAGAGTGTAGTACATGGGTGTGAATTGCTTCTTGAAAACTGTATCATATGATGTTAGGGTCCGTGATCAAAGGAACGAGACTGACACAAAGCGAAAATCAAACAAAGCTTTATTTCGCGCCAAGCATCGAAAATCAAACTCACTGGTAGGGGCCATCTCTTACAAAGAGACGATGATGATGACCCCGACAAGGCCGCTCCCAAGAAGGCCCCTCTGGATGAGGCCGCTCTGGATGAGGCCGCTCCGCAGATGAGGCCACTCCAGATGAGGCCGCTGCCTACGAGGCCGTTCCCTGGACAGGGCCGCTCCCCGGAATGAGGCTGCTCCAGTGAGGCCACTCCCTGGACGGGACCGCTCCCAAGAAGAGGCCACTCTGGATGAGGCCGCTCCCAGGACGAGGCCGCTGCTGACGAGGTTGCTGCTGACGAGGTCGCTCCCTGGACAGGGCTGCTCCCCGGAATGAGGCTGCTCCGGCAAGGCCGCTCCCCGGACAGGGCCGCTCCCAAGAAGAGGCCACTCTGGACGAGGCCGCTCGCCGATGAGGCCGCTCCCCGGAATGACGCCACTCCGGCAAGGCCACTCCAGTGAGGCCGCTCATGGATGGGGCCGCCCGAGGTGCTCTGGACAAGGTCGCTCCAGATGAGGCCGCACGCCCACGGGGCCAAGGCCCGGGGGACAGGAGGGCTGAAGCCTGGGGCGGCGAGGCCGCTTGCAGCGGGGCCGCAGCTCGGTGGTGGAGAGGCCGCTCGCGGCGGCAAGGCTGCTGGTGGCAAGGCTGTTTGCCACGGTGCCGCTGCCAACGACTATGACGACCAGGAGGACCACGACACTCCCGAAGACCGTGAGGACCATGATGCTCCAACGCTCCCGACGACTACCCTAACGGCTATGCCAACGGCTGTTCTAATGGCTATCCCAACAGCTATTCTAATGGCTATCCCAATGGCTATTCTAACTCCTCCTCCTACTCCCCCCACCCCAGCCTCACAGATTAACCTTTATAGAGGTGGTTGAGCCCGGCCCACACCCAGGTGGCCAATGAGATTTCACCTCACCACAGTAAATATATGCACGCCCCACTGATTGGATGTCTCCATCTGGCCTGGCCCACCCCTATATCCGGGGTTTGCAAGTAAGTTCCCCTGGGAGGAGCAGGCCCTTACAATATGAAGAAAGGGGATTCTCTATTTCATGGCTCTTCTATGTGTATCTAATCTAGGGAATATCCAATACTTAAGAAGAAAGATCTAGAAATTAGAGTATCAGGATACTGTTAGTTATCTGTATAAAACTTAACTAATTTTCTGTTGCTTTGAATAGCCACTTAATATTAGAGCTGAACTGCAGTCACAAGGAGCCTGGGAGGATATGATTACATCTGGATCCTTACTTAAATACCTAAGGAAAAAAATACCTGAGAAGAAACATAAGTATACAAGATCTAGCTGGAAAAATTTTAACTCCTATTGAAGGACCCAAAAGATAATTGCACTAATCAGAAAGATGCCAGTTTTACTTGAGTTAACCTATAAATTTAGAGCTATCACAATAAAAGTGCTAACAAGATTTTTTTTAAATAAAAAGCTGATACTACTGTACATATTTTTTAAATTGGATTTTACCAGGGTAATTAAGAAAAAGACGATGAATGAAGGAGAATTAACCAGACACTAAAAACATTTTATAAAGCTATGTTATTTAAAACATTGAGGTTGTACCTGAACAGATGAGTCACAGAATAAAGAATCCAAAAGCAAATGTAAAGACGTAGAGGGTTTAACATATAATAAAATTAGTTTTTATTTCTGTGGAAGAAAGATAATTTCTTTAATACTATGTATTAGGAGAGATTACTACCTGGAAAAAAAAACAAAGTTGGACCCTTGCCTCATTCCTCACACTTAAATAAACTCCACATGGAATAAAGATTTAAACATTTAAAACTAGGGATGCCAGGATGGCTCAGTCAGTTAAGCATCCAACTCTTGATTTCAGCTCAGGTCATAATCTCAGGGATAGGGCCAATAGCAGGCTCTGAGCTTGGTGGGGAAGGAATCTGCTTGTCCTCTTCCCTCTGCTCCTTCCCCCACAGAAAATAAATAAATAAACAAATAAATAAAATCTTTTTTAAAAATCTAGAATTATAGGTACTAGCATTGAAAAATATATTTTTTTTAAGATTTTATTTATTTATTTGACAGAGATCATAAGCAGGCAGAGGAGGCAGGCAGAGAGAGGGGGAGCAGGCTCCCCGCCGAGCAGAGAGCCCAATGTGGGGCTCGATCCTAGGGCCCCAGGATTATGACCTGAGCTGAAGGCAGAGGTTTTATCCCACTGAGCCACCCAGGTGCCCTGAAAAATAGTTTTAATTTAAAAAATTGTTTTAAATAAACTTTAAGTAGGAATAAAATCCAAGAACTATTTTACAAAATTAATCACATTTCATAATGCAAAATTCAAACAGTAGATGTTTATGTAATAAAGGCAGAAGTCTCCCTTTACCCACCTTCCCAGAGATAACCATGATTTAACTTTGATTGTAAAGAGTTCTTAACAGTGCTAGAAGGCCAGTGGAAACCTGCTTAAGTTCTTGAGCCAGGAAGAAATGCAGTGAGCATTGGACTTACACATGGTTCTGTTGTGTGCTGGAAGCTTCAACAGGTAGGAGGCAGAGCCCTGAAGTAAGAAAAATGACCAGCATCTCAGGGCTGACCAAGATAGCAATGAGAAACTGGCTATAGCTTGGTACATTTGAACAGCACCTGGTGTAAGGGCCTGGTTGGCCAGGGGGAGCCATTTTGTTGCAGTGAACTTAGATTGACCCTGCCCCTCCCAGAGGAACTTACTTGCAAAGCCTAGATACAAGGGCGGGTCAGGCCAGGTGAAGACATCCAATCAGAGGGGCGCACATATATTTACTGAGGTGAGATCCCATTGGCCACCTGTGTGTGGGCGGGGCTCAACAATCCCTATAAAGGTTAGTCTGTGAGGCTGAGGCTGGGGAGGAATAGAAGAGTCATCGGAGGAGTAGGAGAGTCGTCAGAGCCGGGAGAGCTGTCAGAGCTCTTGTAAGAGCTGTCAGAGCTGTCAGAGCTGTTAGAGCGGCCAGCGGCCCAGCCGCCCCAAGCCGCGGCCTCAGGGAGTGGCCTCCCCGGAGCAGCCCCTGTCCGGGGAGCGGCCCTGTCTGGGGAGCAGCCTCGTCCAGAGCGGCCACGTTGGGAGCAGCCTTGCCGGGGTCGTCGTCATCACCTTTTCATAAGAATCAGCCTTGACCGGTCAGTTTGATTCTTGATGCTTGGCTCGAAATAAAGCTTTGCTTGACCTTCGCTTTGTATCAGTCTCGTTCCTTTGATCACGGACCCCAACACCTGGAACCCATCCTGTGGGAATACTCTGAAATACATTTTGCTTTTCATTTCATGCTCTTTATTTGCTTATTGTCTTTTAATTGGTATATTTTTTCCAGCTTTATTAAGATATGATTAACAAATAGGAATTATATTTAGGTTGTACAGGTGATTTTTTTAAAGATGTATAATGTGATGATTTAATGTACGTGTACATTCTGAAATGATTCCCACAAGCAAGGTAATTAACACATCCATCACTACAGAGTTAATCTTTTTTTTTTTTTTCTTGTGGTAAGAACATAAGATCTGCTCTTGGCAAACAGTATTATCTTATTTATCTTAAAATTGAAAGTTTGTATACCATTTAGCCAACATCTCCCCACTTTCCCCAACCCCCAGTCCCTAGAAACCACCATTCTGCACTCTGGTTCTATGAGTTGGACTTTGCTAGATTTCACATATATATGAGGTCATGCAGTAGTTGCGTTTCTGTGCCTGGCTTTTTTCACTTAGCATGTCCTTAAGTAGCACCTGTGTCTGCTAGAATTACGAGGCTATAATAAAAGATACCTTTCTTCTAGTAAATCATTGTAATGTCTTTTTCTTTTTAGTGGGCTGCTTTTACCGAAAGTAGTTGAAGATCGTGGCACAAAGAGAACAGACTTTGGAAATCTTGGGAGTGGAATATATTTCAGTGATTCAATCAGGTTAGTGTATTATATATACTATATATTATATCCTTAATCCTGTTACTCCTACCACAAAGGGTTTATTACAAGTGGTTTCCTCCATCTTTCCTTTGTGAGGGATTTCTCACACAAGAAACACATCATTGAAAGCAACTGGTTTTCTCAGTATATAGGAACATTTCTTTTGTGGTAGAGATTTGGGAAAATTGTATTTTAAATTATCTTAGTGATTTTACTATCCTGAGAGTCTTTATTTTTACCCACTTAATCCTTACACCAACCCTCTCACGTCAGTTCTGTTATTATCACTATCACAAAGAGTAGAGTGACACTGAGGATATCTTGACTAAGATCAGACAACATTTTGTCTTTCTCCAGGATGAGCGATCGTAATTTCTACAGCACAGGACCTCTTCTCAAACAACTTCTCTATTGTGAATAAACTCTGTAGACCTAGCATAATATTTCATATTTAATATTCTTATTAATATTTAAATCTGTTTTCATAATAGCCACAAGGTATTTAACACCTTGGGACACCTGGGTGGCTCAGTGAGTTGGGTGTCTGCCTTCAGCTCGGGTCTTGTTCCCTGGGTCTTGGGATCGAGTCCTGTGTCAGGCTCCTTGCTCAGTGGGGAGTCTGCTTCTCCCTCTGCCTGCTTCTCCCCCTGCTTGTGCTGTCACTTGTGCTGTCTCTCTCTTCTTTCTCTAACAAGTGAATAGGTTAAATCTTCAAGGAAAAAAGATATTGAACACCTGCCTTCTATGAGGCACCAGGCTAAGTGCTTCAGGTGCATTGTCTATAAACCTCACGGGTGGTATTATGACATCATTTTATGAAAAGGGAACAGAATGATGGAGGTTAAGTAACTTGCATATGGTCACAGAGCTAGTTATAGGATGGAGCCTAGGTTGAGGCCCAGGACAAAAGATAATTGTCCAGAATATTTAAAGAATTCCTACAAATCAATAAGAAAAAGATAAAGAGCTCCGAACAAATGGACAAAAGACATGAATAGGAACCTAAGAGAAAACACGTATAGACAATGACATTTGAAAAGATTGGTAATAAACAACATGCAAATTAAACTATAGTATGACATTTTACACCTGTCAGCAAAAAAAAAAAAAAAAAAGAGTTCAACATCTCTAGATGTTGGTAAGTCTCTAGAACAGTCTGAATTCTCAATAGGTATTGGTAGTAGTGTTAGGGTCCATGATCAAAGGAACGAGACTGATACAAAGTGAAGGTCAAGCAAAGCTTTATTTCCTGCCAAGCATCAAGAATCAAACTGACCGGTCAGGGCTGTCTCTTATGAAAAGGCGACAACGATGACCCCGATAAGGTCACTCCCAAGAAGGCCTCTCCGGATGAGGCTGCTCTGGACGAGGCTGCTCCGGACGAGGCCGCTCTGCAGATGAGGCCACTCCCTGATCGGAGCCGCTCCCAAGAAGAGGCCACTCTGGACGAGGCTGCTCCCAGGACGAGGCCGCTGCTGACGAGGTCCTTCCCCGGACAGGGCCGCTCCCCAGACAGGGGCTGCTCCAGTGAGGCCGCTCCCCGGTCAGGGCTGCTCCCAAGAAGAGGCCACTCTGGACGAGGCCGCTGCTGACGAGGTCACTCCCCGGACAGGGCCACTCCCAAGAAGAGGCCACTCTGGACGAGGCCACTCCCAGGACGAGGCCGCTGCTGATGACGAAGAGGCGATGACGACAGTGACAATGACAAGGAGGACAACAACCCCGATGACACAGACTCTGCTCCCCATGACGCCACTCTGACAAGGCTGCTCCCCAGAGGAGGCCACTGCTCCGGACGAGGCTGCTTGACGATGAGGCTGTATGCCGACGGGGCCACTCCCTGGCGAAGGCTGTTCTGGACGAGGCCACATGCCGACAAGGCCGCTCCCCAGAATGATGCCACTCCGGCAAGGCCCCTCGCGGCGGGGCCGCGGTTCTGGGTGGCGAGGCTGCTCACGGGGAGGCCGAGTCTCGGGGCGGCAAGGCCCCTCGTGGCGGGGCTGCAGCTCAGGGTGACAAGGCAGCTCGAGGCTTGGTGAGGCCGCTCGCAGCTCGGGCTGCGGCTCGGTGGTGGGGAGGCTGCTGGCAGCTAGGCCGCTGGCGACTCATGGCTCTGACAGAGCTGTTGGCTCTGACAGCTCTGACAGCTCTCCTTCTCCTCCCGATGACTCTCCTCCTTCTTCTCAGCTTCAGCCTCGCAAACTAACCTTTATAGGGGTGGTTAAGCCCCGCCCCCACACAGGTGGCCAATGGGATTTAAACTCACCTCAGTAAATATATGCTCGCCCCTCTGATTGGATGTCTTCACCTGGCCTGACCCACCCTTGTATCTAGGCTTTGCAAGTAAGTTCCTCTGGGAGGGGCAGGGTCAATCTAAGTTCACTGCATAGGGTCAATCTAAGTTTACTGCAACAAAATAGCTCCCTCTGACCAACCAGGCCCTTACATTCCCCCCTTTTCTTTGGAGATTAGTCAAATCCTTGACTTTTCAGCCAGTTCTATGTTATATTGAGCATGTGAAACTAACATTTTATCACTCTAATTTTCTCTTATACAAATGACATTAGTGCACAATCGGCTCATTTTTCCTAATTCTGTTCATCTAATTTCCCACCTATACTTTACATAAACAGGTAACAATAGGAGCAACAATAAACTCACAGTTTTTTTAGTCTTAGCTTTAGTCCATGGTCAGCGGGGTCTGTCGGCTGCAACTTCCATCTCTGGGGGGCGTCCTTACTCTCGGCTTGTTTGACGTGACCCACATGAACCCAAGCCCTAATGCCTTCTACTTTTACTGCCGTGGGGGTGGTCAGGATAACAGTAAATGGTCCCTTCCAGCAAGGCTCCAAGTTCCCCACTTGATAGCAACGTATCCAAACCAAGTCCCCGGGTTGGTAAGGATGTGGTTCCACCTCCGACTCCGTCCCAGTGTGGACAGTCCGGATCCCTGCATGGGCTTTTTTTTAAGACAGACTGTAATGCCTGCAGTGACTGGAGTACAGACTGATCAGTCATTTCTGCTAGGGCAACCTCCTGTAGCCGAGGACAGAGCGGGGGGGGGGGGGTCTCCCAAACATTATTTCAAATGGGGTCATCTTTTTTAAATAGGATGTACATCGTGCCCTGAGGAGGGCTAAAGGAAGGAGATCCACCCATCCACCGCCAGTCTCCAGAATTAGTTTTCTCAAGGTCTCTTTAAGAGTCTGGTTCATTCTCTCTACTTGCCTGGAACTCTGGGGCTGATAGGCACAATGTAGTTTCCAATTTGTGCCCACGGCCTTGGCCAGTGCCTGTGAGACTGAACTCACAAATGCAGGGCCATTGTCTGACCCGACTGTGAGAGGCAGCCCAAACCTAGGAGTTATTTCTTCTAGTAGCTTTTTGGCTACCACTCCTGCCATCTCATGTTTGGCGGAAAAAGCCTCTACCCAGGCTGAGAAGGTATCTACAAAAACTAACATATACTTGTGCCCATATTTTCTTGCTTTAGTCTTAGCCCAGTCCCCTTCATAGTCTAATTTAACCCATTTCTGTAAATACTTTAAATCTTCTTCTGAATAGTTCGGTTTTTCTGGTAGGGCTGGATCCAGGAGTGTAACCAGTTCTTACACTGTTTCTCAGGCTGCTTGCTTTGTGGCCTGATTTGCTAAGTGGTTTCCTTTTGAAATCAGATCAGTCCCCTTTTGGTGTCCCGGGCAATGCATAACAGCCACCTCTTTTGGGTCCCAAATAACCTTGAGGAGAGCCAATATTTCTCCTCTGTTTTTAATTCCTTTTCCTTCTGCTGTTAATAGGCCCCTTTCTTCGTAAATATCCCCATGTATATGGAGAGTAGCAAAGGCCTACCTGCTGTCCATATAGATGTTGGCAGTTTTACTTTTGGCCATCTGCAGTGCCTTAGTCAGTGCAATCAGTTCCACTTTTTGTGCCGAAGTTCCATGTGGCAGGGCTGCTGTCCAGAGTTCCTGCTCAGGAGAAACCACCGCAGCCCCCGCATACCTCTTTCCATTTTCCATGTAGCTACTCCCATCTGTGAACAGAGTCATCTCGGCATCCGGGAGGGGAATGTCTCTGAGATCCGGCCTTATTCCTGTGACTTGGGTTAGGACCTCCCCATAGTCGTGTGGATGGTCAGCCAGCTCCTCTGGCAGCAGTGTGGCTGGATTCAGCACCGCTGGGGGCTGGAAGGTCACTCTTGGTTCGTTGAGGAGAAGGGCCTGATACCCTGTCACTCGGGCGTTCGTCATCCATCGGTCTGGTGGAGTCCGGAGAAGGCCCTCAATAGCGTGTGTGGTGGTTACGATGAGTTTTTGACCCAAAGTCAATTTACTCGCATCCTTGACCAGGAGGGACGTTGCAGCAGTTATGTGGAGGCAAGGGGAAACCCAGCTGCTACTGGATCTAGTTTCTTGCTAAAATAGGCTACAGGCCTTTGCCAAGGCCCCAGAGTCTGAGTTAAAACTCCTTTGGCCCCCTCTGCTTTTTCATCCACATACAGGTGGAAGGGCTTGGTAACATCTGGGATGGCCAACACTGGGGCACTCAGTAAGGCTGTTTGTAATTCCCGAAATGCTCCTTCTGCCTTAGCTGTCCATTCTATCATAGTGAGCCCTCCTTTTGCCAGTTCGTAGAGAGGTTGGGCAATCTCCGCAAACCAAGGTATCCACAGCCTACAGTAGCCCACTGTCCCAAGAAACTCCCTTACTTGTTGGGACGTGGTGGGGCTAGGGTATCAGGTGATCACTTGTTTCCTGGACTCAGTGAATGCACTCCCTCGTGGAGATCAAAGCCTAGATAAGTGGCATGGCTCTGACAGAGCTGTGCTTTCTTCACTGACACCTGATACCCTTTTTCCTGCAGAGTCTGTAAAAGAGCTCTCGTCCCCTGCAAACATGACTCATAGTCCTCAGCGGCTACTAGCAAGTCATCAACGTACTGTAACAGAGTGACTCCTAGGTTGGAGGTTCTGTACTCATGCAAATCCTCGTGTAGGG